TGCGATGTCGATCGGCGTTACGTTTAGCGATGATGTTTGATTTGTTGATTGCTTCTGCTGCCCTGGTCCGTGCTGCTTGCAGAATCTCGGCGAACTGTTGTGCTCGTGGGACGGGGTTGTCGGGATTCGGTGTCATGGGTACTGTTGGGTCCTGTCCGTAATTCAAATAAAACGGCGACTGTTGCATCGTGGCTGATGGTGCGTTATTGTATGCGAACTCGATGAGTGGCAGTTGCTGTTCCCACGTATTCGGGTCGTCGCACGTGGCTCGAATCAGCTGCTCCATGGTCTGATTTGTCCGTTCCGTCTATCCGTCGGTTTCGGGGTGATAGGATGAACTGAACTGTAAGCGCGTGCCGAACTGCTGCCACAGGTTCCGCCAGAAGTTGCTGGTAAATTTCGTGTCCCTGTCGCTGATGATCGACGCGGGTATCCCGTGCAGTCGTACGATGGTGGAGATGAAGAGTCGGGCGGTTTCTTCGGCTGTGATGGATTTCCTGCATGCTGCGAAATGAGCCATTTTCGTTAGTCGATCGACGACGACCAGGATCGCGTCATTCCCACTCGCCCCAGCTGGTAACCCCGTGACGAAGTCCATCATCACCTGCTGCCAAGCACGCTCTGGAGGCGGGATGGGTTGTAATTGCCCCGCTGGTCGCTTCCTGCTTGACTTCATGAGCTGGCAAGTGGGACACGATGCCACGCGTCGTTGCACATCGGTCAACATTTCTGGCCAGTATTAGTACCGCTACAGCTGCTGCCGTGTTTTTTCTACCCCGAAATGTCCCGAGGTAACTCCGTCGTGTGCTTCCTGTAACAGTAGTTCCCGCAGTAGCGTGTATCCCGGTACCCAGATGCGGTCGGTTCTAGTTTTTACGTAATAGACTCCTTTTGCCGCTGCGAATTGCTGTGAGTTGCCTCCTGTAAAGAACGGGTCTGTTTGATATCCGTGGGTAAATAGGCTTGTCAGCAGTGGGCTGGTCTGGGCGAGTAGTATCGCGTGGATCTGGGCAGTGGGGCGGGTCAGTGCGTCGGCGATATTCGATGCTCCTTTTTTGTATGTGACCGTATAGTGAAAATTCGACTCGAGGAAATCGAGCCATTGAATCTGTCGTGGGTTGAGGTGGGGCTGTGCGCGGAGGTACTGTAGAGATCGGTGGTCTGTCCGTACTGTCACATCTGCGCCGGTCAAGTAGCAGCGCCAAACTTTGAATGCATGCACGATCGCGAGCATTTCGCGGTCGTGTATCGGGTAATTTCGCTCAGGCGGATGTAGTTTGCGTGATTCGTAGGCGATGGGTTGGAGGCCGTTGCCGAAGTCCTGTAACAGTACAGCTCCGATGGCGATGTCACTTGCGTCGGTAACCACTTCGAAAGGGCGGTGGGGATCAGCGATACATAGAACGGGTGGTGAACAGAGAACGTTTTTTAGGGCAGAGAAGGCAGCATGCTCTTTCTCCCCCCACGTAAAAGCGACCCCCTTACGCAGTAAATCAGTTAGTGGGGCTGTTAAACGTGCCATGTCGGGCACGAACCGTCGAACGTAATTAACAAACCCTAAAAAACTCTGCAGTTCCGTGATGTTCGTCGGGGGGCGCCACGCTTTTACCGTATCCAGCTTCTTTGGGTCAATCTCAACCCCAGCCTCTGAAATGACGTGACCTAAAAACTCTAGCCTATCCCTAAAAAACTCGCACTTGGAGCCCTTGGTGAGCAGGCGATGTTCCTCTAAAACCTTAAAAACTGCTTCAAGATCTGCTAAGTGTTGCTGCTTATCCCGACTGTAAACGAGGATATCGTCGAGGTAAACGATCACGCATTTATCTAAAAGTGGTCTAAACGCCTCGTTCATGGTCATCTGAAAAGTCGCAGGCGCGTTCATCAACCCGAAGGGCATTACTGTATACTCGAATGACCCGTACCTAGTCCTAAATGCTGTTTTTGCGCAGTCCGATGGTTCGACCCGAATCTGATGGTAACCTCCCCGTAAATCTATTTTTGAAAAGACACGTGTTGTTTGCAGTTGGTCAATCAGTTCGTCGGCGCGGGGGATGGGGTATCGCGATTTGACTGTTCTCCGGTTAAGCGCTCGGTAGTCGATGCACATGCGAAAACCTCCGTCTTTTTTCGGTGTGAACAGTATGGGTGCGGCGAACGGTGACGAGCTTGGTCGAATAAACTGCTTCTCTAACAGGTAATCTAACTGCTTCCTTAACTCGTCGAGCTCGGGCTGTGTCAGTCGAAATTGCCGCTGTACTGTTGGCTGTGCCCCCGGTTCTAACTCGATCCTATGGTCGTGCGCTCGCTGAGGTGGCAGTCCCTGTGGTAAATCATCCGGAAATATCCCCGGGAACCGTTTCAGTAGTGCCTGTAATTCGGTCGGTACGGCTGCTAGTAGTTTCTTTAAATCATTCTGCTGCTCGTCTTTTTCTACCACTGCGATATCCACTGCGTACACGTCAGCTCCAGCAGCGACAGCCCGTTTCATCGTGATGGCGTTGACCTGGACTGTCGAAGATTCGGGTGGCCGCCAGCGAGGTAGGACGACCCAGTTACCGCTACTTCGCACTGTGCAGCTCCCCGTCGTCCAGTCGATCCGTGGGTTGTACCGTCGCAGCCAATCACGTCCCAGTAAAATGTCGTGCCCATCCAGCGTCGTTGCGAGCATTTCCTGTATAAACCCGAAGTTTCCCCCGCAGCGGACTTTTACTCGCTCCACTTTTTCTCGTATGGCCAATGGCGTGCCGTCGACTAAGCGTGCATCTATCTCAGGTAAACATCGGTTAAGTATTAACTGTAATTTCCGTGCGGTTGTAGTATTAACTAAGCTGTGACTTGCTCCTCCGTCAATGAAGATTTTCACTGCTGCTCCCTGTTTTTTCCCGTAGATCAGTACCGGGCAATCCGTCGCTGTACCCTCCTTATTCATCCGAGCCCGATCGATGGCGTGAATCGGTACTGTGACTCGGTGAGGGTCGGTGTGGTTGGGCGAGCAGGCAGTCTCGTCAGTAGTTGGCCCAACTTCTACTGACTGCTGGCGTTTCCCTGCCTCTGAGACTCCCTCCCCTGCTCTGCTCCTCGACGCCTCAGCTCCTCTGGACATTCGCTCTTGCGATGGCCCGGCCGGTTGCAAGCAAAGCAGCGCCCTCTAAATGGCGTGGCAGCTGCATTCGTTGCGACGGCATGTACAGTGGCGTGCTCGATCGGTCCCCGAGGGCGATGTCCGAAATAGGACCCCGGTCTCGGTCGGCATAGGATATCGATTTTCTCGGCGAGCGCGAGGATTTCGTTGAAATTCGATAGCCCGCGTAGCATTATCTCGTGCGATATGTCCGGCTTCAGCCCTCCAACGTAACGGTCCACCCGCTCCGCCTCGTGCATGTAGCCGACCTGTTCGCAAAGTGCGAGAAAACCGCTTGTATAATCTTGAACTGACCCGAGCTGGCGCCAAGTGCGCAATCTCTGACGCGCCGAAATCGAAGCCGCGATCGGCTCAAAACGCGCCCGAAGCCCTGCGCACCACGCATCCCACGTGCTGTATTGGGTTGTTTCGCAGAACGAACTCCAGGTGACAGCTGGACCCGAGGGCCCTTCCTCGTGCGACGGTGGCTCGTAGGCGCGTGGCGACGTCACGATGAGTCGCCACCAGTCCATGGCGGGGCCCCTGAGTAGTGAAACCGCATACCGAATCTTGGCGGCGTCCGACTCGACGTAGTTGGCGTCGAAAAACACATTCATCGTGAAGACCCACGATTGAACTGTCGGGCCGCCGCGTTGGCTTGGGTCGAAGCAGGGCGGGCGTTGCGGCTTGAGTGGCATTGGGGCCATCATGGCGTTTTCACCACTTGTCGCCGCAAACTCCACGTGCCGACGGGCTTCTCGGGGCTCCCGTGGGCTTAGCGTGCTCCTGTTCCCTCCCATGCCGGGCATCGGTTGGGCTGCGCCGTCACTGGCTGCGCCTGAGCGCTGTCCCGTGCTGTTGTGTTGCGTTGGTGTGCCGGATGAGATGACAATCGGCTCCTCCGAATGTACAGAAACATTGGTTGGTGCGTGGGATGTTGTCAGAGCATTCACCGTTGACTGTTGACGGGCGGAGTCACGTTCCGCCGTGAGCGTCGCGATTTCAAGCGCCGAATCCTCCAATTGTCGCACGAGACGATCGAGTTGCTCCTGCGTCAACGTGGCGAGATTGAGGTCGGCCATGGCGGGGGTGTCGGGCAAGCTCAGCGAGAGCCTCGGTCGTGGCCGTGCGTGCTTGCGAGAGAGCACTACGAGCGGCGGTGCTGTGTCGCTGAGAGACGTCTACCCCCCCCAAAAATTGAGATAGTGGGAAGCGAAGGTGTGGATGCGGTCCGAGATGAGATCGTAGGCTCTGATTACCAAGTGTTACGAGTGCAATTGAGTGAACGAACGAGAATTGCACTATCGAAGCAAAAAGTACAATGAGCGAAGGCATGAGCGAAGGATTATATAGCGAAACAATAGTGGTAACGGTAATGGACTGTGGTTGTCGCGCGACGAGCCTGGGACCGAGGTTGGGAAAGTGTCGAAGCGTAGGCCCGGAGCGCGGGTTACCAGCCGAGCCGTGAGGTCGGGATGCGATGTGCGAAAAGGGCGGGATAATGAATGATGCGATGGTCGCGAGTGGTAACGGTGCTGACTGAGGTGCTACAGTGACGTACGCGTTGAGCAGGGACGCTAAGTAAGGAAAAGGGAATTTCCTTACAATGGGCCACCAGAATATGCAATAACATTCAAGTCGTTCGATGTTTTTCCTGTAGGACTCCGTGCGCTTCCTTTTGTCGGCAAACAGATTCGTCATCGCAGGCGCAGAACTCTTCTTTGCGCAAGAACCAAGCTGAAATTGCGCTAAAAGGTGTATTTGTGCAAATCGGAGAGTGTTGCCCTAACATTAGTTCTCTGCTCTGCTCTTTCCCTAGCTAATCGTCGACGCTGACCATCTTTGGCGCGCCGAGTAATCACGAGATATTTAGCGTAGCATGATGGATGATGACCGGCAACGCATCAAATTCCCAAGCTTCTCAGGTTCAACCGGACGTGCGCAGGCGATGGCTGAAGGTACGGTGGTCCTGTCGTAGTGTTTGGATCCGCGTTGGTTGTTATCCTTCCTTTGCCCTACAGCCGCTTTGACGCGCCATGCGTGCGCCGGGTGCAGGTGGGCGAGCAGGAGCAGCAGCTGCGCGCGCTGCTGGCCAGCAAGAGCCCTCGGAACGCGACGGTGCAGCAGCTGCGGGCGGTGATCCGCGACTCGTATGAGGCGCTGCTCTTTCTCGACTTCCGCTTCGCCGTCGATCACGACGTGCTCTACCTGCTATGGCGCCTGCACTACAACCGCATCGAGGAGTTTCGCGCGCAGATCCGCCGCATCCGTTCCGCGCCGGCCACTTCCAAGGCGGGTTCCGCGCAAGATCGCCAGCCCGCGTCCGTCTCGATCCTCTCCCGCGGGTCCCCCGCCACACGTCGTGCGCAAGCGCGTCCGCAAAACGCGTCCGACGGGGCGGGCGAGCGCGCGGAAGCGTCGACGGCGGCTAGCGCGGTGGCGGTGTACCGCGGGTTTCTTTCGGAGGCGGCGGGGTTCTTCCACGAGCTCGTCGGCAAGCTCAAGGCGCGCCGCGCCCTGCTGTGCGACCGCGGTGTCGCAGACTCACAGTCGCAGCAGGGCAGGGCGGGCGACGGCGACAAGTGGCGCGCGGCGTGCCAGCAGTGCCTCGTGTATCTGGGCGACCTCGCGCGCTACCGGGAACTCGTCGTCGATGGTGACATGGCGACCCGTGATTGGTCGGTAGCTGCTGGCTACTACATGCAAGCGGCGCTCATGCTGCCGTCCACTGGCAACCCGCACAACCAGGTGCCCCCCATAACCCACCTTCCAAACCCTAATTCCCTTTTCCGCCTTTGCTTCACTGCCTCCCGTTTTCCGCCTTTGCTTCACTGCCTTCCTGTGCCTCTCCATGCCACTCTCTCAACCTGCGTTCGTCCTCTCTCTTCCTCTCTCTCCAAGTGTTCTTTTATCTGTCTCTCTTCACCGCCTTGTAATCCCTCTTCACCGCCTTGTTGCCTCTCTCCACCGCCTTCTTTTCTCTCGCCATGGCGCGGCAGCTGGCAGTGCTGGCGACGTACGGGGGTAGCGAGGTGGCGGCGCTGTACCGCTACTACCGCTGCATTGCTTGCAAGCAGCCCTTCGCCACCGGCCGCACCAACCTGCTCGTCCTCTTCGACCAGGTCAGCGCTCCTCCCCGCCTCGCCTTGCCTTGCCCGGCTGCCGCTGCGCCACCAGGCCGTTCGCCCCCCGCCTCCATTGACCAAGGACGTGCCACGTGTGCTTCTCGCGTTTCTGCGCACACGTTGAGTCTGTGTGTGCGCAGCGGATTGTGGGAGTGATGTGAGCGGGGCGAGGGGTGGCGCTGTATGGGACGAGGGAGTTGATCGCAAGCAGGTTATGACACCAACGGATTCCATTCCATTCCCTTCTCCCCTGTCTCTTGGCCGTGCAGAACGCCAATCGCTGCAATCGCCTGGGTGCGGCGGGGCCTCAAGCAGCACAAGGGGCGGCGCAGGAGGCAACGGGGCAGGCACAAGGAGCGCAAGGAGCGCCCGCTGAGGCACTGGCGGTGACGTGGAGGAATCTGTGCTCGCGATTCGTGCGCCTTAATGGCATCCTCTTCACACACGCCAGGTCCACACCCTCTCCTCTCCCTCTCCCTCTCAAACCTCAATCTGCTTGCATCGCCTCCCGCACTGCCCTCAGGCCTAACCTTTCACGTTCCTCGCATCGTGTGTGTGTGTGCGTCTGTTTCCTCTTGTGCGTGGTGTGCGTGGTGTGTGAGTGCAGCCTGGAGTCGTTCGGCGCCGTGTATCTGGCGGCCATGAACGACTTGGAGCGCCTGCTCGCTGCGCCGCCACACGCCCTGCAACCCGTGCTGGCGGTGGGGTCGTCCGCGTGCCCCACTCTCCCTGCCGCGGGCGCGGAGGCCACAGTGGTGGTGCAGATGGTGGCGTGCCTCGTGTGCACCGTGCACGCCATGCTCGCCCCGCACCACGCCTTCCCCTTCGCCCCCCGCCCCGCCAGCGACGCCGATGACACGCGCAGCACGAGCGTGCCGTCCAGCGCGCAGCTGCAGCAGCAGGCGGACCGCCTGCGCCACGCCGTCACGCTCGCCTTTGAGTTCGTCGGCCGCCTGCTCTCGCGCTGCGCCGCCTCCCCCGCGCCGCTCGCCTCGCCGCTCTTCCCCGCTGCCACCGTCTTCCTGCAGTGGCTCGCCGCCCACCCCCACCTCGCCGCGCGCACCAACGATGAGGCGTCGGGGCCGGGGGGACACGCGGGCGAGGGCGCAGGCGGGGGGGGCGAGGACAGGGAGAGCGCGGCGCGCATGTTCATGTGGGGGCAGGCCGTGGTGGTGCTCAACCGCCTGCTGCAGGAGCACAGCCGCCTGCTGCCCCCGCTGCTGGTGGCGCACCAGGGGGGCGTGCAGGGCCTGGCGGGCGGGCAGGGGGAGAGCAGCGGCGGGGCAGTGGGGCTGTGGGAGGACGTGGAGCTGCGGGGCTTTGAACCGCTGCCGCATGTGTGTAGTGATGGGCCTAATGACGCGCAGAGGGACGGGCAGCTGGACGTGGACGGCTGGCAGGGCGGCACGGGGGGTGCGGAGGGGCAGGAGGCAGTGTGGGCGCGGGGCAGGAGGGCTGTGTGCGCTGCTTTGACTTTGTCGGGATGGGTGCAAGGCGGTGCAGGTGGGGCAGCATGGGCGCCAGGGGACGGCAGCAGCGGCAGTGTGTTGCACTTCAGCAGGCGGCATGGGAGGTTCTTCATTGCATCACTCGTGGCGGATCAGCTGCCCTCACCGCCTGCTGCCAGTGCAGCACATCCCACGCACGTGGTGCATGGCACCAGCGCGGGCAGTGCACACACGGCGGCACCAGGGTCACTCGCCACTGCCTCCGCCACCCCTGCTCGCCCTGCACCCGCGTTCAACCACCACGTGCCTGCTGCGCCGCTGCCGTGGGGTGCTGCAACCATGGGAAGCGCGGGGCAGGGGCTTGCGGGGGAGATGGCAGGGGTGGAGGCAGGGGGCGACGGGCAGGGCGAGGAGGAAGGGGAGGGGGATGGGGAGGAGGTGCCGCTGTGGGCGGTGGAGGAGCTGATAGGGATAGACAGCTCAGCGGAGCAGAGCGAGCAGCACATGCGCGAGCTCAGCGCACACACCCACGCCGCTCACTCCGAGCGCCACAATGGGGTGCTGCCTGGCGCTGCTGGTAACGGTGGGGTGGAGGAGCACGAGGAGGAGGAGGAGGAGGAGATGATTGTGTTCCAGCCCTGGGCCTCCGGTGCTGCTGCTGCTGCTGTGCCGGCTGTGCTGCACACCGCTGCTCCCAGGGCAACTGATTCGGTCAATAAACCAGCGGCAGGGGTGCAGGCAGCAGGGGGTGGGGGCAGGGCAGGTGTGGAGGGGGGTGCATGGCAGGTGTCACACGGACTGCTGGCAGCAGGAGGTGAGGGGTTGGGTGACGACTTCCTGGCAGGGCTCAGTGGCGCCGCCGCACCGCACTTGTCCTCCCTGCCACCATCCTCCTCGCCCTCCCCACGCTCCTCCTCTCCTGCCATGCACACTGCACCCTCGCCCAACCTGCACCCTCTGCCTGCTTCCCCTGCCACCACTGCTGTCGCGGACGGCAGTCTGCGTCGCGTGCCATCGGGAGCAGGAGTGATCGGGCAGGACCGCCACCGCCTGGCGCACAGCGACGGCCATGGCCATGCGCGTACGCATGGGTACATGGAGGCAGCAGCAGGCCAGCCCAGCCACCCGGCTGCTGACCTGCCTGGGCTGTGGGGTGCTGCACCTCTCCATGCTGCTGCCACCGCCCCACCTGCTCCTGCTCCTTCTGCTGCTGCCACTGCGCCTGCTGGTGGCTCTGCTGCCCTGACGGCACTGCTGGGCGCGGGGTTGAGTGAGCACGAGCTGAGTGCGCTGCTGGCCAAGGCGCACCAACTCGCACTGCACCCTCATGCGCCGCCATCGGCAGCTCGAGGCGGCCAGTACCAGAGTGGCTATTCGCAAGTGAGTGGGGCGGGAGCGGTGTGGCCCACATCCCTCACCCACACCCCTCCACCCGCAGCTGCGGCGCCCAACTCCTTCTTCGCCGGCCCCTCTGCTGCACCCCTTGCTGCCGGGCAGCTGCCTTTCCCGCACCTGCATGCGCAGCAGCACCCGGGCTATGAGGGGCAGCAGTATGGGGGCGGGGTGCAGAGGGGCATGGGTGCAGTGGATCAGGTGATGGCCTCCTCCGCCTTCTCTGCGCCCTCAGCACCACCACCAGCCGGCAGCAGTGCACACACAGGCGCTGCTCCCCCGCCCATGCCAGCCATGCACGCTGCTGCTGCCACTCCGCAGCAGCAGGCAGCAGCAGCGCAGGCGTCTCTGCAGCCCCCGCAGGCAGCAGCGGCGCCCAACTCGTGGCACTGGATGCAGCACGCACACCACCCCTGGGGGCCCTGACCCACTCCACCCTCCTTGAGCACAACTCAACACAATCGGTGGGCTGTAGTGTTTATGCTGGGCCAGCCAGGTGCGCCTCTGTGCTCCTGTGCTGAATAGTAGGTGGGCTTTGTGACCAAACTCAGGACGGGTCGAGGCTTTTTGGGGTTGCAGGGGCCATGTGCCGCCCTCACTTGCCCCATCTCATCAACTCCCCTTCGTTCGTCCCACCCGTTGCCCTCCCCCTTGCACATGCCCTCCCTTCACAGCCACATCAAAAGCACCGAATTCGTCGCCTGTGCGGCTGCTGCACTGGCAGCGCTGCTGCTGGTGGTGCCATGGTGCAATGGGCCGACAGCAGGTGCATGTATGGCACGTGGGCAACCCGCACCTCGTCACTGCTGCCCTGCACGCATGCCTGCCTGCCCACACACTTGCTGGCGGGGCAGCATGGTGGGGTGGGGTGGCGTGTGGTTGGACGTGGGGAGTGGGTCAGAGGAGCATGCTGAGTGGGGCAGGCTCGGCCCCTGCCTACCCCATTCAGCACCATTCCACGCCGTTGGTTTGATTTCCTGGCAATGCGAGTGTCACCAGTGCCACCACAGCAACCAGATTTGGGCCGCCGCAGCATGAGCAAGGTGTTCCAGTGGCACACATCATGTGACTCCTGGGCCCTGGCCGTGTGGATGACATGCCACCTTTGTCGCCGTGTCGCTGCTGCTAGCCGTGCTCACTTGTTTGGAGGGATGGCATGGAATGGAATCGTGGTTGTGGCTGTTGGTGTGTATGGGAAACCGGGTGTTGGTTATGCATGCCAGTTTGGATACAAGCAGCATTTACCGTAGGTTAGGCTGTGACAATGAGACTGGAAGCATATGTTGTCTACGGCTGTTATGGAGGTACCGTACGGTATGGGCTGTGCTTGAACAACAGCATTCTTATCAAATTTACTTATGGACTGGGAAAGCGAGTAAACTCAGGGTTACCAGTTTGCCCTGGTCGCGAGCGTGAGCGGAAATGGACACCCTTCTGAGCTGAGAGGCACGTTCGCCACCCTTTTCGCCTGGCCAGTGGGCCCTGCGGTCCCTTGCGGAACGATCTCCTTTCCACCTGTCCTGCCCTCGCCTGCCACCCACCCGCCCCCTTCACCACCACCACCCGCGCAGATCACAACGCTCCCTGGACCCACTCGGACTCACACCAGCGCACCCCCAATGTTGACACGCACTGCACATGCCACCAATTCGTCTGAGAGTCTTCGAGATCGTCGCGCCTTGACGCCACTTGCGCTCTTCCGCCTGCCGTGCCGCACGGCGCGTCGCCGGCGTGGCGGCCGCTGCATTCTATCCCGTCGCGCCGCAGCCTAGTGACGGAGTACGACTGTGACGTACCAAAGCTTTGTGTGTCCGCTCCCTAATGCTAGTCTTTAAATAACCAGGCGACCCACTGTGCACTCTCCTGCGCGTCGCATTGCTGACCTCGCCACACTCACATTCCTTGTGCCTGGCGGCAGTGCTGCGATCGTGCGCGTGGGCAATGTGAGCGCCTCTTGTGTGGCGGCACATGTGGCGGTCCAGGTGGAGTCGCGAGGGCCGTGAGGCTGCACGCGCAGTGACGGCTGAGACGCATCATTAACGCCCACACTTCCCCATTGCCCAGGATTAGGGTGCGCGCGCGGAGAGACGGCCGGGGAAAAGACGGCGGCGACGAGAATAGGGCGCAGGGAGGGAGCGGGAAATGGAGGGGGACAGCGCGGGGAATGGCGAGCGCGCGGAAACAAGCGGGGCACAAGCGGAAGCCGTGCAGGGGGGACTGGAGGAGCCGATAGAGGCGGCAGGGGCAGGCGAGGGGGAACGGGGGAGCGGCGCGATGGAGGACGATGGGGGTGTGGGGGAGCGCGATGGCGCGGCCGCGGCTGAGGCGCGGAATAACGAAAGGGAAGCGCCCGGGCGGCGCAGCAAGGAAGGCACCAGCGGGCGGCGCACAGGCGGGCGAGACGCGAGTGAGCGAGGAGGGGCCGAGAAATTGGCGGGAGAGGGATTGAAGGCGAGGGGTGAGGGGCGGCGCAGGAGCGAGGGGGCTGCGAATTTGAACGGGGAGCCAGCGGAGGGCGCCAAAGGGAGGGGCGCGGGACCGCGCAAAGGCGAGCGCGCGGTGAGGGGGAGTGCAGGGAATGCCACGTCGTCCCCCCGCTCGAATGGCAGCAGCGGGGCGGCGAGGGCAAGCGCGCGGACCCCTGGCATCAGCATGGCGTCTCCGCGCAACGCTGCTTCTTCCGCCACTGCTGCCGCGCGGGCAGACGGCCCAGGGGCGGCAGCAGAGAGCGCAGGGGAGGCAGCAGAGAGCGCAGGGGCGGCAACAGATAGCACAGGGGCGGCAACAGAGGCGGCAGCAGGGAGTGCAGCGCCAGCAGCAGCGGAGAAGAGGCGCGCGAACGGGGGAGACGCGGAGGGTGGGGCGGAAGGTGAAGACTCTGGTGAGGGGGGGAGTGTGACAGGGGGAGGAGGAGGGCCCGCGCAGGCGATGGAGAGTGCAGGCGGAAGCGAGCAGACGACACAAGGGGAGGTGGCGGAGGAGGCTGTGCGGAACAACGATGGGGGCAGCAAGGATGGGGGGGAAAAGGGTGCGAGAGAGGGAGGAGAGGGAATGCAGGGAGGGGAGTGTGCAGCGGAGCCAGGCTCCGGTAAAGAGGAGGAGGGGTGCAAGGAGGGGGAGGCGGGTGGAGGCAAGGGGACCGGAGGGGTGGATGGGCAAGATGGGGGGGTGGGTGGTGTTGAGGGCGAGGTGGCATGGCAGGCAGTGAGGGGGCGGTTAGAGTCCCGCGTGGGTGCAGCGGGCGACATCGCCTCGCCCCGCCTGCTCGCGCCTCCGCTGCCCGCTGCTGCTTCTGCACCAGCCGCCCCCACAGCAGAGGGGGCAGCGCCCGCTGCTGCAGCGCCAGGCGCTTCCGCAGCGGTGGGCAGGGCAGAGCAAGCCGCATGGGGGGCTGAGGGGGAAGAGCAAGTGCCAGAGCAGCATGAGGAGGGGGAGGGCGCGGAGGGGGAGGCGGAGGGCGCGGGGGGGGAGGGGCGGGGGAGGCGGGTGAGGCGGGTGCGGTCGATGGACGCGGCCTTCTCCCCGCTGCTGGCTGCCGACCCCTCCGCCTGGCAGGCCGCTGGTCGCCCCGCGTGGCACGGCGTCATGGGGTGGGGCGCACGCGTGGTGCGCAGCCTTGCCAAGGGCGGGCTGGGGGGGAAGCGCGCGGGCAAGGGCGGGAAGGGCAAGGGCGGGGCGGAGACGGAGGGTGAGGAGGAGGCGCGGGCAGAGGAGGCGGCGGCGTGGGACGCGTATGTGTTGGCAGGGGACGCGAGTGCCGGAGGCGATGGCGTGGTGGTGCTGCCACTGGGGCCAGCAGGGGTGCCCCGCACACACACCGCCGGGGAGGTGTGGGCAGCGCCGCCTGGCGTGGGCGCTGCTGTGGCGGGGCTGGGTGGGGTGCAGCGGGGCGGGGCGGGCGTGGGGTGGGCGCAAGCGGCGTTCCCCCGCAGCCACTCGGACAGCGTTCGGGAGAGCCGCGCCGGTCGCCGCGCCGCCTCCCTGCTCGCCCCTGCTGGCGGTGGTGGTGATGTGTGGGCGGGCGCAGCAGCGGCGGAGAGGGTGGTGGTGCTGTGGACAAGTGGCGAGGAGAGGGTGGATAGAGAGGCGCAGCAGAGTGGCGCAGGCAGAGCAGCGGGGAAGAGTGCGGACGCAGAGGGGGCGCGGGAAGGGGGGGCCACGGATGGGGAGGCAGGGCATGGAGGGAGGGCGGAGGAAGGGGGGGAGGAGGCGAGCAGCAAAGGGGGGGCGAGTGGCGTGGCGGAGCAGAGTGCAGCAGAGGCGAGCAAGGCGCGCGCAGACGCAGTGCTGGCAGCAGCGGTGATGGCGGCGAATGCGAGCACCAAACCACAGTGGGCCTCGCAGCACCAGTGGCACACGCAGCCACACGACCCACAAGGGCAGGGGGGAGGAGGGGGGACAGAGGCAGAGGCAATGGAGGAGGAGAGGAGGCGAGCAGAGGAGGCGGAGAAGAAGCGAGCGTGGGACGAGGCGGTGAGGGCGGTGCGGCTGAGGGACCAGCAGCGCCGCCAGCAGGCCGCTGCCGCCCTCGCTGCTGAGGAGGCTGCACGGGGCGGCAGAGCGGGCGGCAAGGGAGGGCAGGCAGCACGGCGCCTGGCGAGGCGGCGACGCCGCGTGGTGGCTCGGCTGGTGGCGGAGGTGGGAGAGAGAGGGGAAAGGGCTGGGAGGCTTATTTTGGGGGAAAGGGGATGCTTGAGTCGGGCAGTGGGAGGCGAGAGGCAAGGAAATTGGGCAAGAGAGAAAGTAAAGATAATGAGAGGAGGTGGGAGAGGAAGGTGTGGCATACAAGAAGCAAAAAGCCTTGTCGTACTTTTTTCATGCAGGTGTATCCAAGGCCATGTGCTTTGTTTCCCCTCATTTTCCTCCTGTTCCCTTCACTTCCCTTGATCGTCCGTGCCTCCCCTCCCCCCACCTGTGCTGTGGCGTGAGGCACAGACGGGCGAGCTGAGGGAGGCGGTGGAGGGCAGGAGGGCGAGGAGGAGCGCGGTGGAGTACCACCTTCTGCACGCCGGCATCTTCCTCGACCCACCCGCCAACCCCTCCCCTGTACCGCCTTGCTTGTGCCTGCCCTTGTGTTGCCCCTCCCTCCCCATCCCCACTTCCCTCACAATCCGCCACAGCCCATTGTGATCCTTGCGAATGATGCCGCTGCCACATCTCTTCCTTCCACCTGCTCGCTACCCTTCCTTCCTTCCTTTCCCTCCCTCACCCTCCCACATCCCCTCACCCTCCTGCTTGTGGGTGGAACCCTCTCTCATCCCTTCGCCCCCCGCCCATCTCCCCCATGTGTTGCCTGACGGGTTGTGCTGGGTGTGCGGGGGCATGGCGGCAGGAGGAGGAGGAGGAGGCGCGGAGGGAGGCGGCGGAGGTGGAGTGGCTGAGGGGGGAGGTGAGGGTGGCGCGGCGGTGGATGGACGTGCAGCGCCTCGTATGGATCAACCGCGACCGTCAGCACCGCGCCCTGCTGCGCCGCGGAGGGCACGAGGAGCAGCGCGCACAGCTGCAGCACATGATGTGAGATGCAGCACATGATGTGAGATGCAGCACATGATGTGAGATGCAGCACATGATGTGAGATGCAGCACATGATGTGTGATGCAGCACATGATGTGAGATGCAGCACATGATGTGAGATGCAGCACATGATGTGAGATGCAGCACATGATGTGTGATGCAGCACATGATGTGTGATGCAGCACATGATGTGAGATGCAGCACATGATGTGAGATGCAGCACATGATGTGAGATGCAGCACATGATGTGAGATGCAGCACATGATGTGAGATGCAGCACATGATGTGTGATGCAGCACATGATGTGAGATGCAGCACATGATGTGAGATGCAGCACATGATGTGTGATGCAGCACATGATGTGAGATGCAGCACATGATGTGTGATGCAGCACATGATGTGAGATGCAGCACATGATGTGAGATGCAGCACATGATGTGTGATGCAGCACATGATGTGAGATGCAGCACATGATGTGAGATGCAGCACATGATGTGAGATGCAGCACATGATGTGAGATGCAGCACATGATGTGAGATGCAGCACATGATGTGTGATGCAGCACATGATGTGAGATGCAGCACATGATGTGTGATGCAGCACATGATGTGAGATGCAGCACATGATGTGAGATGCAGCACATGATGTGTGATGCAGCACATGATGTGAGATGCAGCACATGATGTGAGATGCAGCACATGATGTGAGATGCAGCACATGATGTGAGATGCAGCACATGATGTGAGATGCAGCACATGATGTGAGATGCAGCACATGATGTGTGATGCAGCACATGATGTGAGATGCAGCACATGATGTGAGATGCAGCACATGATGTGAGATGCAGCACATGATGTGAGATGCAGCACATGATGTGAGATGCAGCACATGATGTGTGATGCAGCACATGATGTGAGATGCAGCACATGATGTGAGATGCAGCACATGATGTGAGATGCAGCACATGATGTGAGATGCAGCACATGATGTGAGATGCAGCACATGATGTGAGATGCAGCACATGATGTGAGATGCAGCACATGATGTGTGATGCAGCACATGATGTGAGATGCAGCACATGATGTGTGATGCAGCACATGATGTGAGATGCAGCACATGATGTGAGATGCAGCACATGATGTGTGATGCAGCACATGATGTGAGATGCAGCACATGATGTGAGCACAACTCTGCCAAGGGTGAGAGCTGTACTTGCTGAGTGGAAACGAGTGATTGCCTTTGTACCACATAACCACGCCTCCTTGCTCGTGTGTACAGTGTTTCCTGCTCTAATGCCCCAACCCTTCATGCCCCCCCATGCCGCCATGCCCCCATGGCAGACAGCAGCTGGAGAGCCAGCTGTCTCAGTTGGAGCGGCACGAGGGGCTGCTGAGAGAAGGAAACTCGCAGGTGGGCGGGCAGCTGGCAGGTGGGCGGGCAGATAGGGGCAGGTGGGAGGGGAAGTGACAGGTGGGTGGGCAAGTGGCATGTGCAAGGGGCGCTTGCATGCCTGTCCCTGAACGCCTGGATTCACACCATATATAACGCTGCATGTCACAACACATGTCCCACCACGTGTCGCTGCTCTCTGCCTGTTTCCCTCCCCCTCCCCAACCCCAACCCCAGCTCAACGAAGCATTGGCACAGGGCACGGCGCTGCCAGCAGCAGCAGCGGCCATGCTGTCCTTGGCGTCCTTCTCCTCCCTGCCACCGGACCCCGCCTCCTCCTTCCCCCACGACCTCTCGCTCTCCGACATGCCTGACGATGCCTCACTCACCTCCGAGCCGCACTCCTCCGCGCTGCCCCCCTGGCTCGCCTCCCCCTCCACCGCCTCCGCCAGCCCAGCGCCCTCCATGGGCCGCCCCCCCTCCGCCTCGCGCCGCTCCCTGCCCGCCTCGCACTTCGCGCAGCCAGCCCCCCACGTGCCGTCGCCCTCCCCCCGCCACAGTGCGCACAGCCTCAGCGGCCCGCTGCCCTCCCCGCGCTCGCGCTGGCGCTCGCGCTCGCGCAACGCGTCGGGGCGGCGCCAGGCACTGGAGCCACTGGCAGTGGGGGTGGGGGGAGGAGGAGGGGGCGAGGGCGAGGAGGGGATGTCGGACGAGGTGTCCCCCCAGCCCATGTGCGCGCCCTTCACCCCCACCTCCTCCCGCCGCACCATCGACCAGAGCCGGGGCGCCCTGGATGGCCGCATGACCGGGGTGAGTGCATGACCGGGGTGAGTGGCTGTGAGGAGCGACGTGATTTGTGGCCTCCACCTTCCTGTCTGCCCTGACTCCTATTAACACCCTTGTTGCCCGCCTGCCACTGTGCCTGCCTGCATGCCTGGTTCTTCAACCTCGTACCCATTCCCGTTCTCCTCACTGCCGCTCCTCCTGTGCTCGTGGGTGGGCGGGGCAGGTGGCGGAGAGGGAGGCGGGAGAGGAGGAGGAGGACATGCAGGGCGGTGGGGACACGGGCGCACTCACGCCCTCGTCGTCACGCTTCTGGGGCTCCGCCCCTGACAGACGGCAGACCGACCGCGAGCGCGAGCAGGAGAGGGAGCGGGAGAGGGAGTGGGAGCGGGAGAAGGAGAGGGAGAGGGAGAAGGAAAGGGAGAAGGAGAGGGAGCGGGAGAGGGAGAGGGAGAGGGAGAGGGAGAGGGAGCGGGGAGGGGGAGGCGGGGCGATGGATCTGGCAGCGCGCTTCACTCGCGCGCTCTCACTGGCACGCACCGATGCAGACAAAGGGGGGGGTGCGGGGGTGAAGGGGGAGAAGGAGAAGGCGTCAGGGCGGTGGTGGGGGGGCCTCAACACGCCGAGCTCACGGGCGGTGGGGCCGGCAGAGGCGTACCGAGTGGAGCCGGGGGAGGGCTCCACCATCCTGCACATCTTCCACCAGGTCACACCCCATCCTGCACATCTTCCACCAGGTCACACCCCATCCTGCACATCTTCCACCAGGTCACACCCCATCCTGCACATCTTCCACCAGGTCACACCCCATCCTGCACATCTTCCACCAGGTCACACCCCATCCTGCACATCTTCCACCAGGTCACACCCCATCCTGCACATCTTCCACCAGGTCACACCCCATCCTGCACATCTTCCACCAGGTCACACCCCATCCTGCACATCTTCCACCAGGTCACACCCCATCCTGCACATCTTCCACCAGGTCACACCCCATCCTGCACATCTTCCACCAGGTCACACCCCATCCTGCACATCTTCCACCAGGTCACACCCCATCCTGCACATCTTCCACCAGGTCACACCCCATCCTGCACATCTTCCACCAGGTCACACCCCATCCTGCACATCTTCCACCAGGTCACTGCCCCCCCGCCCATCTTCCACCAGGTCACTGCCCCCCCGCCCATCTTCCACCAGGTCACTGTCCCCCCGCCCATCTTCCACCAGGTCACTGCCAACCCGCCTCCCAGCCTCATTACTGCCTTGCTTTGCCTCTCTCTGCCATGCCTCCTCCCTTCCTCTCACCGCCATTTACTGCCCTCCCTTTGCCATCCCACCGACCTCTCACCGCCCTCCCCCCGCTGCCCTGCGCCAGGCATCACGGCGCATGCGCAGCATGGAGGCGGGCGACTTTGAGATCGCCGAGTGCGAGCTCTTCACGGCGCGCGACGACGTGGACGACCTCAGGGCGCACCCCAACCTGCTCTCTGAGCACATGCTCATCTGCCTCCTCCGTTAGTCGCCACCCTTCATCTCGTTCATGTTTCAACTGCTTGCTCTGCTTCGTCTCGTTCATGTTCTACGGTTTCAACTGCTTGCTCTATGTTTTCTACCATGCTGCGCCCTGCCGCTCTGAACTTATTTGTTCCTCACATCGTTCACGGCTCGCCTCACGCATCATCCATGGGAACCCCTCCCCCAACAGAGATCTACCGCCGCCATGCCTTTGGCGCCGTCACATCGCCCGACCGCTTTGCCACCACGCCTCGCTCCGCCACCTTCGGCCCCTCCACCCAGCCCCTTTCCTTCCCCGACCCGCCCCTGCCCCGCCCCCCCCACCACCCCCCCTCGCGCCGCCGCACCTTCTTCCGCAGCCGCAGCGCCGCCAACCCCTCCTCCCATGCCTCGCACTCCCCGCGCTCCTCCCCCCGCCGCCACAAGCGCGCAGCAAAGGGGGGCGGGGAGGGGTACGGCAGCGACGAGGACGCGGCAGGGCGGCCGTACCCGCAGGCGTATGGCGGCGTGGCGGTGGGCGGCGAGCCGTGGGAGGACGGCGTGAGCAGCACGGACGGGGAGAGCCCGTCGGGGCTGAGAGGCGCGCGGCATGGGTGGGACGACGGGGAGGGGCGGGGGGGGCAGTGGCAGGCGAGGCGGGGGAGGCGGAGGGGTGGGGGAGGGAGCATGGAGGAGGCGACGTTGACGGAGGTGTCAGAGTGGGAGGAGGTGGGCGACGACGACACGGACGTGGACCTGCGCCACCTCCGCGCCTCCGAGCTCGACCTCCTTGGCCCGCCCTCCGCCTCGCCGCTGCGCCCGCGCCTGCGCCCGCGCACGCCCACCACGCTCTGGCTGCGCCACCGCCACCGCCACCACCGCTCGTCCGGGGGGGGCAGTGGGTGGGGCGCTGGCGCACAGCAGCAGGGGAGAGGCGGCGATGTGGCATCGCCGTACAGCAGTGGGAGGAGGGGGGCCGGTGGACACGGGGAGTTTCCGAACCCCAGCACGCCCAGCAGTGCCAGCGCTGCAGCAGGCGCTCTGCGGCTGGGGAGAACAACGTCCACCCGCGTGGTCACTGCTGTCGCCCGCGTGCTGCCCCCCCCTGCTCCCTCCGCCCCCGCTGCCACTCCCCCTGCTGCTGGCGCTCCGGGGGCTGGGGCAGGGGCGAAGGGGGGTAAGGAGAAGGAGAAGGAGAGAGGAGGGAAGGGGAAGCACGGGGGCCAGGACACAGCTGGCAGCGCCGCAGCAGCAGCAGCAGGAGCAGCAGCAGCAGCAGCCGCAGCAGCTGCTGCAGAGAAGGGCGAGTTGGGAGCAGACGACTTTGAGAAGTTTTTCGGAACGAGTGGAGAGGTGCCAGCGCCGACGGAGTGGAGTGCGCTGAGCAGCGCGCAGCTGGACCCGTATGGGGTGTTTGGCGAGCACCCGTGCCCGGACGCGGGCAACTACATTCAGATGCTGGCCGTGCAGCACCCGCCCTCCGAGGCCACCATGACCCATGCTGACGCCACTCGCCTCCTGCACTTCCGGTGAGAGAGGGAGCACGGATGGGAAGGAGCTTTGTGGGGCAGCAGCGGAGAGGGGGTCTCCCTCGCTCTCTTTTGAGACGTCTCAAAAGGGGTCTCCCTCTCTCTCCTTCTCCCCGCCTCTCTTATGCCTGCCTGCCTGCCTCTATGCCACCCTGCTTCGCCCCCCCATTTCCCCCCTTCAGAGCCATGGCAGCGCAGCTGGAGGAGGTGGACCCATCAGTGCTGGCGCACAACGAGCGCCTGGCGTTCTGGATCAACATCTACAACGCCATGCTGCTCTACGTGAGTGCTGCGCGCTGCCGCTCTATGTCATTCCTTCTCCTGCATCATGCTTCTGCTGCTGCGGAAGTGGACACCTAGAGTACGGCGCTCTATGTCATTCCTTCTCCTGCATCATGCTTCTGCTGCTGCGGAAGTGGACACCTAGAGTACGGCGCTCTATGTCATTCCTTCTCCTGCATCATGCTTCTGCTGCTGCGGAAGTGGACACCTAGAGTACGGCGCTCTATGTCATTCCTTCTCCTGCATCATGCTTCTGCTGCTGCGGAAGTGGACACCTAGAGTACGGCGCTCTATGTCATTCCTTCTCCTGCATCATGCTTCTGCTGCTGCGGAAGTGGACACCTAGAGTACGGCGCTCTATGTCATTCCTTCTCCTGCATCATGCTTCTGCTGCTGCGGAAGTGGACACCTAGAGTACGGCGCTCTATGTCATTCCTTCTCCTGCATCATGCTTCTGCTGCTGCGGAAGTGGACACCTAGAGTACGGCGCTCTATGTCATTCCTTCTCCTGCATCATGCTTCTGCTGCTGCGGAAGTGGACACCTAGAGTACGGCGCTCTATGTCATTCCTTCTCCTGCATCATGCTTCTGCTGCTGCGGAAGTGGACACCTAGAGTACGGCGCTCTATGTCATTCCTTCTCCTGCATCATGCTTCTGCTGCTGCGGAAGTGGACACCTAGAGTACGGCGCTCTATGTCATTCCTTCTCCTGCATCATGCTTCTGCTGCTGCGGCTCCGTCTGTGCCTTTCAGTCCGCTACAAGCCTGGCAGCAAGAGGCCGTGAGGGACCAAGTGAGGGACCAAGTGAGGGACCAAGTGAAAGCGCCAAAACAGCCAGGATTGCTCGTCTACGTTTCTCCAGGTTTTTCCACTTTCTCCAATCTGGCCCCAGCCGCCCCTCTCCCCCTCCCCTCCCCTCCCCTTCCCCTCCTCACTGTTTTCTGTGTGTGTGCCGCGTGGTGTGTGTGCGTGCAGATCTACATCGTCATCCCCGTGCCCACTGACTTTGCTGACCGCATCGCTCTCTTCAGCAAGGTCCGTGCCATGCCGCTCCCTCTGCACACACACACACACACACACACACACACGCATGGCATGTCGATTCGTACGATAAATGGTGGGAGCGAAAGCGGGGGAGTGGTAGTAGGGTTGAGGGAGTGGTGGTGTGTGATGGTGGGAGCAAAGGGCTTGACAGTGTGCGGATGCTGGCCTCTCCCCATTGTGCGTCTCACTACTCTCTCTTGTGCCACCATGCCATGCCACCCATGCCCATGCCACCATGCCATGCCACCCATGCCCATGCCACCATGCCATGCCACCCATGCCCATGCCACCATGCCACGCCACCCATGCCCATGCCACCATGCCACGCCACCCATGCCCATGCCACCATGCCATGCCACCCATGCCCATGCCACCATGCCATGCCACCCATGCCCATGCCACCATGCCACGCCACCCATGCCCATGCCACCATGCCACGCCACCCATGCCCATGCCACCATGCCACGCCACCCATGCCCATGCCACCATGCCACGCCACCCATGCCCATGCCACCATGCCACGCCACCCATGCCCATGCCACCATGCCACGCCACCCATGCCCATGCCACCATGCCACGCCACCCATGCCCATGCCACCATGCCACGCCACCCATGCCCATGCCACCATGCCACGCCACCCATGCCCATGCCACCATGCCACGCCACCCATGCCCATGCCACCATGCCACGCCACCCATGCCCATGCCACCATGCCACGCCACCCATGCCCATGCCACCATGCCACGCCACGACGCCCTGGCAGGTGGGATTCCTGATAGGCGGCCAGCTGTACAGTGTGCTGCTCATCGAGCACGCCGTGCTCAGAGCCGGCACCCACAAGCCCTACATTGTCAGTCCCAATCACCCATCTGCTCTCACCGTGCCATGAAATCAAGCATATCTCAGCCGTCCTTCTCCTTTGACTGCTCGAGTAGTGAAGCGTCCATCTTATGTCCTCGTGCTTCAGCCTCCACATTATCTTCCTTCCACCCCCACCTGCTCTCATCACCCCTCACCCCCCCTGCTCCCCCGGACCATCTCCCCTGCCCGCCCCCATCAGATCCGCGCCCTGCCCAGCACCACGTTCCGCCCCGGCGATGCGCGCGCGCTCTGTGTGCTGGAGCGCGCCGAGCCCCTCGTGTCCTTCGCCCTCTGCTCCGGCACTCGCTCCTCGCCCTCCGTCAGTGCCCCATTCCGCTCCTCTCCGCTGCTCTCCCTTTTTCTCTTTAGCTGCTCTGCCGCTGGCATCCAGACTCTTGCTGCCTCCACCTCCGTTTGCCCGGCCCACATGCCATCCCTGCCCCCCCCCACCGTCCACCTCACACACTCCCCCTCCTACTCTCCCACTCCCACCGCCACGCCTTCTCCCTTCCCCCTCAGATGCGAGTGTACCGGGCGGAGAGTGTGCAGCAGCAGCTGCGCGGCGCCATGGTGGAGTACCTGGGGGCGGCAGTGAGCGTCAACGAGGCCAATAAGATCATCATCCCCAAGCTGCTGCACTGGTGAGATCATCATCCCCAAGCTGCTGCACTGGTGAGATCATCATCCCCAAGCTGCTGCACTGGTGAGATCATCATCCCCAAGCTGCTGCACTGGGGACTCTCGTACTCGCTCACCAGATTGGTCCCCTCATTCCTGTGCCACCAATCTACATCGAAATCATTCCTGTGCCACCAATCTACTCTATCCAACATGCCAACACATTCCATTACCCCATAACCTGCCTCCTCCCTCCTTCCCTCCCTCCCTCGTTCTCGTGGCCGCCTTCTCTCCCAACGCCAGGTACCTACCGGACTTTGCACCGGACGTGTGGAGTCTGCTGGAGTGGCTGGCGAACGTGCTGCCCACCAACCAGGCCGTCGTGCTCATGAACTGCCTGCCCACCGGCGCTGCCAACGTCTCCGCCTCCAAGTGTGTCGTCGTGGCGCCCTTTGACTACCGCTTCCGCTACCTCATCCCCCCCGTCCTGCCCAACTAGTGCTCCCCGCCCGCTCCGCTGCTGCCTGTGAGGAGCGGCAGGAGCATGCCCCTTGTGCTGCCTGTGAGGAGCGGCAGGAGCATGCCCCTTGTGCTGCCTGTGAGGGGCGGCAGGAGCATGCCCCTTGTGCTGCCAGAAAGGGACGTTCGGTACAACATGCACGTGCTGCCTTGCTGTTCCACACATGGTTCATTTGCACGTGCTAGGCAGTACTGTATGCAGTTGGATGGAGGCACAGATAGGTTCATAAGTTATTGTAGTAGAGTAGCGGACATACGGCAGGTACGTAGGGCTTCACCAAGTGCAGCTCCTTTGTTGTGTGCAGTGTCCACATTACCGTAGTGTGTTTCACAACATGGCATGTGCTTCTCAGGCAAGGCAGCAACAGATCACAGATGAGATTGCTTATTTCAAACTTTCCTGCACTGCTCTGCACACCTCCTAACTGTGCACTTGATGTGAATAGGCAATGACGGCCTGGGATGAGAGCAGGGCAGGGAGCTCTAGGCTTGTGTGCTTACACCAACTAGCATGTGCGTCGCCGCAATTCCGAAAGGGGCAAGTTAGATTTTGTGAATGGCCACACAGCATGACACTGACGTGCAACACACTGACTTGCACCACACTGACTTGCACCACACTGACTTGCACCACACTGACTTGCACCACACTGACTTGCACCACACTGACTTGCACCACACTGACTTGCACCACACTGACTTGCACCACACTGACTTGCAACACACTGACTTGCACCACACTGACTTGCACCACACTGACTTGCACCACACTGACTTGCACCACACTGACTTGCACCACACTGACTTGCACCACACTGACTTGCACCACACTGACTTGCACCACACTGACTTGCACCACACTGACTTGCACCACACTGACTTGCACCACACTGACTTGCACCACACTGACTTGCACCACACTGACTTGCACCACACTGACTTGCACCACACTGACTTGCACCACACTGACTTGCACCACACTGACTTGCACCACACTGACTTGCACCACACTGACTTGCACCACACTGACTTGCACCACACTGACTTGCACCACACTGACTTGCACCACACTGACTTGCAACACACTGACTTGCACCACACTGACTTGCAACACACTGACTTGCACCACACTGACTTGCACCACACTGACTTGCAACACACTGACTTGCACCACACTGACTTGCAACACACTGACTTGCACCACACTGACTTGCAACACACTGACTTGCAACACACTGACTTGCAACACACTGACTTGCAACACACTGACTTGCAACACACTGAATGCTGGGCACAGGTGCATGCAATGCTCATCACTCTAGGCACAGCAGTTCCACATGCACTGCACACGCCTGTCCTGGGGTGAGGCAGCAGTTAGGGGGAGGGGGAGAGGGTCGAGGAGGGGGAGAGCGAGGGGGAAGTGGAGGAACGGGAGGGCGGTGTCCACTCAATGCCGCCCCCCTGCCTCCTCCCTGCACCCTCCACTTCCCTCCCTTGCATCTCCCTCGCTCTCCGCTTCTCCCTCCTTGCTTCTGTGCACCCCACACCACCCTCCGGGGACCCATGTGCGCTGCTGCCAAGCACAGTCGCCAGAGAGGAGGGAGTGAGCGGGGGGGACGAGGGGCTACCCTCGCTGAGATCGCAACTCTCATCTGACCTCGTACCGCCGCTGCCGCTGCCACTGCCACTCGCACCCACGCTGCCCCCTGTGGCCTCCCTTTGCACCCTTCCCCTCACCGCCACTGCCCCACCTCCCCACCTCCTCTCCCTCTCCCCCTTGTCAGCAAACACAGTGCCTCTGGCTGCACCAATCAGGTCACGGCGCCACACTGCCAGCCCATCAGACGCTGCAGCAGCAGCAGCAGCAGCAGGAAGCCTCTCACTCACCTCAGCCCCTCCCACCGACGGCCCTGCCTCACTTTCTCCTCCTCCCATGCTCTCCCCCCGCCCCTGCACAGCATCACCCCGCATCCCCTCCCTTGCACTGCTCCCCTGCCTGCCTCCTCCCCCCTCCTGCTGCCTGGCTGCCCCTGCCAGCCTCTCCCCCCCCAGCTGCCTGGCGCGCTGCCGCATCAAATATGCCTCCCACGACGACCCCACGGCCCGCCTCACTGCCTCGCTGCCACGCCTCGCTGCCTCCATGCCCCCCTGCTGCACGCCCCTGTCCCCCACGCCGCCCTGTGCCGCGCCATGCAGGGGCATGTGTGTGGCGCCAGGCGAGGGGCGAGCAGAGGGGGCGGACGCGCGCCAAGAGGCAGCAGAGGCGGCAGGCCAGCGGTCAGAGGAGGCGGCACCCGAGGGCCCACGGCCCATAAAGGGCGAACGGGCAGGGTGGTGGGCGTGGGATGCATCATGGCCGTGGTGATGGGTGTGGGTGTGGGAGGGGTCATGGGCATGATGATGCTGGTGACTCCAGGGCGTGGGGCCAGCAGTGTGGATGCGTTGATGCAGCAGCGACGACAAGGACGACGCTGCACCCCCGCCCTGCCGCATCCCATGCCACCCCCACTCCCCTTCCACATCCCTAATGCCGCCCCTGCTGCCATCCACACTCATCCACCACCCCACACCGTCCCCCACCTCCTCGCCCCCCCAGCGCCTATCAGCGCCAGCCCCCTGGCGCGTGTCGACGCCCAGCAGCGAGCCATGGGCCCAGGGGCAGGAGGGGGCAGCATCGGCCTCGGCCTGGGAGGGCAGGCGGAAGCGGCAGACGGGGCACGTATTGGTCTGCGCGAGCCAGGGCAGGATGCAGTCACTGTGGTACGCGTGGCGGCATGGCAGCTGCTGCGTGACGGCGCCCACGCCCATGTCCTCGTGGCACACCGCGCACGCCGCCACGCCCCCCGCCACGTCCTCCTCCCGCACTATGCGCAGCGGCAGCGCCCGCACCGCTGCCTGCGACGCTGGCGTGTGCGTGCTGGTGGGGGGGGGGGGTGGGAGGAGAATAGGGAGGTCGAGGAGAAGAGAGGAGTAAGCAAAGGAGGGAAAGAGGAGAGGAACGAGAAAGCTATCAGGATACGATAGCCTGCCTGAGGTAGCTTCGTTGCCGATTTGTATCCATCTCACTGTTGCACGCACTAAGGCCCCAGTGGTGCTGAGGGCACAGCAATGCAGGGAGCCACGTGTGTGTGCCATACGTGGGGAGAGGGGAGGGCGGGGAGTGTCACCTGGTGTGAGGCATGGGGTGCGCGGTGGCGATGCGGTCAACGAGCGCGCTGAGGTCGTCCCCCAGGAAGTAGTCGCCCACACGGCCCGTGAACTCGCCACGCCCACCACCGCCTGCCGCTGCCGCTGCCGCTGCGTCGGATGCAGCGACGTGCGGCGGAATGCCGTCGTCGCTGCTTTCATCGTCGCTGCTCTCGTCACTGCCCGACGTCTGCCACGCCAGAATGGGTAGGTAACACAAGACTTCGTACAAGAAGAATGAGGGAGAGGCGAGGGTGGAGGCACGGCACGAGGAGCCAAGTCTTGCAACACACATGTCACTCACTACCTCCTCCCTCCACCCCGTCCGTCCCCTACGCGCACCTGCTCCTGGGCGATGTCGCTCATCGGCGCGCTTCTGGCGCGCAGCTGCGCGGTGGCGACCTCCAGGAACGACGACTCCTCCCTCATGTCGCGCAGGAAGCGCGCCAAGCCGTCCTCGCCGTCGCCGTAGTCGCCGAACACGCCGCCCGGCGACTCCCTGCGACCGCTCGTGCGATGCTGCGAGCCCAGCGGAAGCACGTCGTTGAGCGAATTGAGCGACTCTAGGGCGACGCGGCGAGAGGCGTCGCGTAGTCGACGTGGGGAGCGGCCTGTGCGGGTGGAGGCCACGCCGCCGTCGGATGGGGATGGGGAGGTGGGGGGCGACGCGGCCTCACGCGCAATGGCGGCGCTTCCGCCGATGTCGGGGGACGACGACCGCGATGACCCCGCGTCGGCGCGCAGGCGTTGGGAGCGGTGAGCGAGAACGCTGCGCATGTCCGCCCAGGCGTCGGCCAACGAGAGGTCGGCACGCGCGCGCGACGAGTGGAGCGCGTTGGGCCCGGCGAGCGCGGCCGCGGGGAGCTCCTCGACGAAGCCGCCTCCGCAGGCCGGGCAACGTGGGCCGGCCATGGCGGGCTCGAAGAGAGGGCCGCCTATGGAGGCGACGGTCGCACACTGATGGCACCAGTAGGTGCGCGACGATGGCGAGGACGACATGGTGGCGGTCGCGGAGGAGAGAAGGAAGAATGCTACTCGCGTGAGTCACTCGCTATGTTGACTGAATTCCATGATGCTCGCTGGACAAGGCGAGTTCATTCACGCTATTCTATGTGACGAGGACGACGGCTGGGACACGAGACGATGCACTGGAGGCATGGCCAGAAGACATACATTCGCCGAAGGATGGAGCAAAACCAATGAATGGGATGGAATGAATGGATGGTTATCGAAGTGAGACCCTCATGCCCAAGCACTATGCTCTTGGGGGGGAAGAGAATTTCGCTTTACCCAAGGTCCATCCAACCGACCCCCATACCAGCATTCAGGGCGGGTCATACTTTTTTGTTCTGGGATCGTTTGACGTGGTTGCAAACGGTCAACTACGTCTGGGTACGGTTATTGACTTTCACCGCTTTAGACCATTGCGCACCAGGATGAACCATTTAAAACGAACCTGGAACAAAAAAGTATGACCCGCCCTCAGAGTGTCACGAATCCGACGGTCGAAGAGATCCAAGCTGGTATTCCAAACGCGTCATCTAAGGTCACAGTGCGCTCTCCTGTGGGACATCCAGACCAACAATTGCGGTGATCCGTCCGATTAAAGCCCCTCTCCTGACTATTGAGACGAAGCCCAGTCCGAGCAACTCGCACCCCTACCAACCTTGGGCAAAAACAGTGACTGTATGTTACCGCAAGCGTTTCAACATTCACCTTCATGTACAGCAAGTGGAAATGTTGCTATAACGAATTTGATTACAAGGCTTCCCTGCTTATATTGCTAATATTGCTAGGCATCACCTAGAGAGATGAGCATATGCCTCATAGCATGTTCAAGTTTACCTACTCTGAATGACGGCAGATATTTCAAGGCGACCTCGTTGTCGCTGACATTGTGCGATCAAATGCATCCATGCTGCAACAAAGGAAGCAAGCTTATCAGCAACAAGAATGATAACTACGAAATTGCACACTATACATAACCAGAAACGGTGCACACAAATAAGTGCTGAACCTACCTGGCCCTGCGACTACTGCTTCCCAGCAGTATCTGGCTGCTGCTGTTAGCTCGCATCATGGCCTTGTGTGGAATCACAGGCCCCTTGCCGCCTCTCCTCGCTGATGATGCAATGCTCTCCACGTCGCCACGCTCTGCTGTGCCACCATTACAAAGGGCACGTTGCATGACAGAATGCTTACATCGCATCACGTATAGCTGTTACACTGCAAAACAAAATGCATTACATATCCCTGGACAGTGCTTGACACAATGTATGACACGTTACAAGAAACGTGGGGCACACCAGCGCACAAGCCCATCAACAGCCATGGGAACCCATGGTGCAGGAGCAGTAAGGAAGGGCCATGCAAGAGAACGGCACTGCCATTCTGGATCCCATCACTCGCCCTCTTTCACTCTCACCCTCCACCCTTACTCCCCATCACACCCTCCCCCCACCTGCGCCGGCGCCTGCGGCAGCGTCGTGAGCCTTGGCGGCGGACTGGAACTGCTTCTGGTCGGGGATGACAATGGCGGCGTCGATGTTGTCGGGCAGCCCGCGGTGCCGCGCCAGCAGCATCACCAGCACCATCACCACCTTCGCCTCCGTGCGCCACACGCCTGCCCCCACTCACGCAGGGGTGAGGGGAAGAAGGAGAACAAGAGGAAGGGGTTGAGTGAGGTGAGAAGTGGCTGGATGGGGTAGAGAGAGCAGCAGTGGGGGTAGAGTAGCAGCAGGGCACAAACTGACCTGAGAAGCTGTAGGGCGGGGAGACACAGCCGGCGGGGGCGTCTTCTGGACAGGTGTAGCCGAGAGAGAAGCCCACGTTGCCATAGCCACTGCAATGGCATGCATGCACGCATGTACAGGGGACACACATACACACATACATTCGTACACACGATGCACACAGACAGGCACTCAGATGACACCCACACCCACTAGAAGGAGTACAGCACACATACATTCGTAAAGGGAGGACGACTGATGCGAGAGGCGTAGGCATGGCCGTCAAGGAACACTGCAAGTAGGAAAAGGTGTGATTGACTCAGCTGCCAGCGTGGCATGCCACATGGCACATGCCACAACCACATGGCAGGCAAGCACGGGGCATGGGGCAGGAGGCACAGGGCATGGCGCGGGTCATGGGGCATGGGGCGGGGGGCATGAGGCGGGGGGCATGGGGCGAAGGGCATGGCGCGGGGGGCATGGGGCGGGGGGCATGGGGGGGGGGGCATGGGCCGGGGGGCATGGGGTGGGGGGCATGGGGCACGGAATAGGGGCCATGGGCCATGGGGCGTGCCTCATGATTTCGAAGATGATATTGAAGATGGAGAAGTTGGCGGGGTCGCTGGTGATCATGGGGCTCTCCATGATGCAGACGAGGAAGATGGCGAAGAAGATGAGGGCGGTGTCGTGCAGGAAGAGCTTCTTGCCCTGCGTGAGCACGCCCGGGTCCAGCACGCCCTCCTGCAGGTCCTCGTAGAACACCCCGATGTCCTCGTCGTCGTACACCTCGCGCTGCTCCCTCGACGTCTGCCGCGCCAGGTACACCGGATACACTGCCACGTTCCTGCGAAGGTGGAAGGGGGGGAAGGGAGGGGAGGGGGGGTAAGGGGAGGAGGCATGGCATGTGAGCGCAGGGAGCAGTGCTGCGCTGCGTGCAGTAAAGCATGTCAGATGGCACCATCCTGGCAGGTGGGGAAAGGGCCGAGGCACAACAGCCAGGCAGAAAGCAGTTCACAGGGCACAGAGGCATGCATGATGCAGGGTGGGCGGACTGACATCAAACCGATGTAGAGCACGAGCATGGGTGGCGAGAGCAGAGCGAGGACGACGGCGTTGTAGCCTGTGGTGCGCGTGCAGATGGACTGGAAATACCCCACCAGCACCTTCGTACTGCCTGCTCGCCCCCCCACACACCCGCACACCGCAGCCGCAAAGGTGGGGCGGGGAGAGGGGGGGAAGGCGAGGGGGGATAAACTACTGTCAGAATAGCACTGTCGTGGAAGTGACAAAGCAGAGGGTGCAGTAAACATTCTTGTCGGACTTCCCCATCCCCAACTGTACAGTACAGCCTGTGAACCGCCCTGGGAATGCGTGAGATGACCTGACAGCACAACACAGCCCATGGCCCCCCATCCCACGTGCTTGCCATGCCACATTACACACTCCATTGGGCCACGTCGACTTCCAGTCCAACACACTCAGGGCAATGGATTCAACCACTGTGTTCAAAAAAAAAAAAAAACAAAAAAAAAAAAACAACAGCACAATTGACCCCTTCCCTTGCCCTTGCCATCCCCCCTGGTTGCAGCACGCACTGGAGAGGCCGTCGAGGGCGGTGGAGTGCCAGTCGAAGACGCAGAAGAAGATGAACTCGATGCTGTTGAACGCCACCACCGTCGCCACCAGCCACAGCGTGGACGAGCGCGGGAACAGGTGCGTGTAGCACTTGCGCGGATGCTGCAGCAGATACTCGTACACCACCTGGTGGGCGGAGCACGAGGGCGCAGGAGGGGGAGGGGGAGGGGGAGGGGGGATGGGGAGGGGAGGGGGGGGGAGAGAGGGGGAATGGAAAGAGGAGTAGGGGATGGCGGAGATGTGATGGTGGGGAGCGGAGCGGATCGTGGTTGTGGCATTGCAGGAGGCGTCGTCATGGCGCCGGTGGTGAGTACGGCTTGTGTGGTGGCGGCAGGAGAATGACAGGTGACACGCACGGTGGGTGTGAGGGGACGAGGGAGAAACGGAGTGGGCGGTAGCAGCTGGCACCTTCTGCTCGCCCTTGGCGGCGCGGTGCAGCAGCAGCAGCAGGCCGCGCAGCGTGGGGGCGAAGAGGGTGTTGCCGAGGAGCATGAGGAGGGAGAGCAGCAGCAGCATCGGCACGTTGCTGTTGAAGTCCATCATGTTGCTGTTGAGCAGCATGAGCCCCGTGTTGCTGAACGCTGACACCACCTGCCCGCACCGCACCGCACCGCATGCACCCAGTTGGGGGGAAAGGAGTGTGAGGGGGAGAGAGAGCAGGATGAGATGGGTGGAGGGAGGAGAGGAGCAGGATGATAGTTAACAGGGCAGTGGTGATGAGGGGCAGTGGTGATGCCGTGCGGGGCAGTGGTGATGACGTGTACAAGAAGCTTCATGCAGCGCAACAAATGCAGCGCAAACGAGCGGCACAGATTGCATACGGTGCGGCAGAGAGGGCAGAGGAGGGAGGTGGCGGGGAGGGCAGAGGAAGGGGCCGGCAGAGAGAGCAGAAGAAGGGTGGGGGGGAGAGAGAGAGGGCACCTGGAAAACGGAGAAGAAGACGGAGTTGACGCTGTTGCGGTCCAGGACCTGCCTGACAGAGGGCGACACGTGCACGAGCACGAGCATGAGCAGCACCGCCACCGCCTGCACCACCAGGAAGTACACGGGCACCAGCCAGCTCAGCAGCTCCAGCGCCCTGCACCGCGCACACGCGCACACGGGCAAGAGGTGCAGGAGGTAGGGGCGGTGGACGGATGACCAGCGGGGAGTGGGAATGAGCGAGGGGACGTGATGAAGCAGGATTGGATGATGCCAGTGCAGTGCAGAGCACAAGAGCCATGAGCTCGTCATACAACAGCTCGTATCAGCTACCAATTTCCCCAGTAACCTCCCACTCCCACATCTCTACTTCCCGATCCCTGCCCTGCCCACCTCAGTTCCAGGAACCTTCGTTCACCCGGGTCAATGGGCAGCAGTTCAGCGTCAGCGTTAGCGCTAGTCCCCTCAATGTCGTCGGTGCGCCAGGTGCTGGACGAGAGGGTGCGCTGCAGGAACAGCCCCGGCCGCTGCTCGCTGTCGCGCTGCTGCTGCTGCACGCGCATGATCTCCAGCGCCAGCTTCAGCCGCTGCCCCTCCGCGCGCGCCACGTCCCCCGACCACGTGTGCCACGCGTTCTCCTCCCCCGCCTGGTACCGCCCCGACAGCGGCCCCACCGTCCGCTCAAGCGCGTCCCCCAGCCCGAACGCCCTCCGCGGAGTCAATGTTGTGCGCGTCTGTGCGCCCCGCGGACTGTCCCACATGCGCCGTTCTCCATCCCACCGCGCCGACCGCGGCCCGTGCTGGCTGCTGTCCAGCCGCAACGCGTCCACGTCAGCGCGAGCAGATCTCGGACCATTCTGGCTGGAGTCTTGCCGCGTGGCGTCCACGTCGGACCCCGCTGGAGCATCATTAACGGGAATCACGAGAGCTCCGTCCCTCCCTCTGCTCGTGCTGTGAGACCCAATCGGGGACACCTTAGCTGGGTCGCTATGAACGTGGGTTACCTTGCCTCCACCCACCGCTACCGCATCTGACTCCTCTGTCTTGCTGCCGGAGGGAGCATTATCTCGAGCGTCAGCAGCCTTGTCGTCCTCCGATACGCGACGCTCCTCCTCCTCCAACACCTTCAGACCTTCCCCGCCAGCCTCGGTCATCCCATCCACCCCCCCCGCATCCACGCTGCGTACTGTCACGACGGGTTCGCTCCGCCGGCCGCCGCGCGTGACGTAGCCCTCGCGGTAGAGGTAGCGGTGGAAGAAGAAGCGACGGACGTACACGGGGACGAGCGACGTCGTGATCTGACTGCCGATGATCATCAGCAGCAGACGGAAAACGTTAGCTCCGTCAGAAAACATGTTAACGTCAACGCTAATCATTCCAGTCAGGCACGTGGCTGACGTCACGCTGTACAGCGTGTCAATGAAACTCATTTTGCCGGCCGGGCCGCCCGGAATCAGGCACATGATGATCGTGCCGATGAGGATGAGCACGACAAAGCAGGCGACGTGGAGGCGGTAGAAAGTGACGTGGCGGCGGAACCACGGAGGAAGCTTCACGCTGAAGGCCCAGTCAATCCATGACCGTTCGACCTCGTGCCATCGATCGACGGAGAAATATTTGCGGATGGACGCTGCGACGGCCGACAGCCGCTTGCTGCTCATCCATGGGAGAAGACGCCATCTTCCGAGCGAAATCGTCTCGCGGTCGCTCGCAGCTCTTCCTGATTTCTGCGATGAACGAGCGTCAACATCATCTGACGGTTCAGACGACGATCCTTCATGACCGCGACGGCCATCCGCTTCCCTGGTTTCACAGTCGTTGAAGTCTGCGACGTTACTATTCGGACATTCATCGCGCGCAGCCTCCGTCGCTTCTACCATAGCCAGACGCGACTCGGCGTTCGGCGAAGGATTCAAGGGGCTGACTCGTCTCCTACCACTCGTCTCTGGCGTAACGGGTTGATGGTCTGCCATGATAACCCGCGAGGCAGCCAGCGACTGGCGGCTTCGGGCGAGTGGAGAGCAGCCAACAGATGTCAGTGTGCGGCCATGGATTGCACCAGGCCCTGCTAACTTGTCACTTGAGCAGTTACCACAGAAACTTTAGATGCTACCAGGCTGACGAGCAGTGGGGAGGAACTCAGTCGGTCATGCGAGCGAACAGAGGCATCGGGAATCTGGGATTCGGGAGGGGGCTGCGGTTGTCGGTCAAAAGTGTTGGAGGGGGCTCACCAGGGCTCAGGATATCAGAGCGTTTTACCCTGTTTGCCCTGCATTTCAGGGTAAAATTTTGGACCCACACTGCTAGAACTGGGTTTGGCTGGGCGTCCACCCTATCATTGTCAGGCAGGGCTGAAAACACACCCTGCAAATGATGTTTTACGCTTATGTGCAACACTGCCTTTTCCCGGCTGGTTACGGCAGACACCCTGCCAACTTTTCCTCTTTTGTTGAACTTTACTAACTGCGCGGCTATTCCTCTAAGTAGCGTTTGTGAGTGAAGCTCCAGAATTGGATAGTACTTGAAACACCAGAGAGTCAGCTCTAGCACGGTGAGTGGCGTTTGTGACTGAAATGTGTCCAGTAGCGTTTGTGACTGAAATTCCAGAATCAGCTAAGTACTTTCAACACCATAGATTCAGCTCCAGCACAGAGAGGGGCGCGTTTTAGTAGTGACCGCACCTAGAAGACCCACCGACAGGCCTCTCATCTCCCCACCTACATCACTAAAACCTCAACCACCACGCACTTACGCATAGTTGTCGACCACTTAGAATCGAGCCAAGAAGACCCGGCTCGACAAGATTTTCTGGCTTTTAGGAATCATCGATATGGCAGGCTCGACTGGTAGACCTAAAAGTTTTAGCTAGGCAGTGTTTTTGGATTTCTCACCCTGCCAGATTCGACCTCGAAAAAAAAAAATCACACTTCCATTTCTTGGGTACGACCGCCAAGGCACACTGCTGAGGCAGGGTGTAACGGGTCACACACAACTCGGATCAGGCAGCGTGCCCCAAAATGAATCGAGAGCCCTGGGGCTCACTCAGGGGAAGGTAGCGTCGCACGGGAAACCATGTGCGACTGGTATTGGAGGGTGCCTTGTTGGAGGGGGCTCACTCAGGGTGGTAGCATTCGCCCGTTTTCCCCTGAGAATTCAGGGTTCGTGAAAACTCAGCACAGAGTTTTCAAGGCTGGTTTTTTCCTGGCCCGTATTCCTAACGGACGGGTTTGGAGTCTTCTCCGGATTTCCCGTGTACCTGCCTTCCCCCCCTCCCCCCCCCCCCCATTCCCACCCTTCTTCCTGACCTTCGACCGTGCACGTGTCCCACTTCTCTTCCTCCCAACCCTCTCTACTCACCCGCACCAGCGCGCTCTGATCGGTAGAGTACGTACATAGAGTTACTTAGCTTTCTGGCGCATGTGGCTCAGGGCAGGAATCCAAATGGCCTGAATTTCAGGGCTAGATCCGACTGCTGTCCGGATGTTTCAGGGCTTGTTTCGGGCCAGCTCAGCTTCGTAAGGTTTGGGCCCAGACCAAGCGACAGCCCTGCTGGTGAGCGTCGCCAAGCGACGCCCAGTCGCGTCGTTCGTCAACCACAAGTCAGGCCGAATGGCAACCTCGAGGGTCCTTTTTCTATCGCCGGCTAGTCTCCCGATTGGTTTGATGGCATCAGGCTGTCAGTACAGCACACCATTGTTCAGAGGAGCAGAACCTGTCTGCGCAATGCAAATCCAGTGTCGGTTACTAGAATTGGATCATCATTACAGCCTAAAATGCTTACTAGTCAACTCAATTCGGGTAAGACACCATATCTTTCAGCAAAGCCAATCCAGGCAGCAGTGTTCCCACAACTTCCAATCCAATGCCAAGGCTAATGCAGCCACAAATAATAAACAAAAACCAGGCCCTTGTGGGAAATCGGCACAGCACCAGCCATGGGTTGGAACTAGCTTCCAATGCGGTGGTAGAATAGCAGATAGGCTTCGCAGCGCAGCACCCGCTCCAGGGTCGTTGCCTGGGCGTGCGTGTCACTGATGTACCACCACTGCCCACCCTCCCATCCCCCACTCTCCCCTGCCTGCTCCAAACACACCTTTCCCAGCACTCCATTGCCCTGTGCAACAACTCCATTGATCTGCCCTGTGACCCCGTCACCCTCTGCCCCACCTGTGTGCACCAGCTCAGCTCCGCTGCATGCACCCACCTCTGAATCCCCACTGCTTTGCACATCCGCTCCAGCCCCTTGCTGCTGCTGCTGCCAGCCGCGCCGCACAAAAGCCACATAATGCCCGCCCCGCATCGTGCCACTGTGCTCCACCACCCCACATAGCCGGTACCGGTGGGACTGACTCTGGGCCTGGGCCTGGGCCTGGGCCTGGGCCTGGGCCTGGGACTGGGACTGGTCCTCCAACACATGATTCAATGGTGCCCCAGCACCTGTCTGCGTGGCTACAGGCACCTGTGCTGTGTGCGACGGCTTGGGTGATGACCATGACAGTGCTGATGCTGATGCTGATGGTGCGGTGTGCGTGGGTGGGGTGCTGTGCCATGTGCGAATTGGGCGGACACGCGACAAGGGAAAGTAGTCGGATGAGTAATCAAGTTGATTGTTACATTGAGCGACAGTATCGCGAGCATGAAGAGGAGAGATGGGAGGCAAACATACAAGAAAGGGCATATAAGGGAGGGTGTGCAAGGGAGGGCGTGCAAGGGAGGGCGTGCAAGGGAGGGCGTGCAAGGGAGGGTGTGCAAGGGAGGGCGTGCAAGGGACGACTCACGGGGGCAGGGGGTCGACGAAGGGGCTGAGGTCCAGCCACTCCCCGAACGCCACGTGGCCACTGATCTTGGAAAGCCTGCCACGGTTGTCGTGGCGGAAGCGCTTGAGATGCACCACCAGCACGGCCGGCTCCCTGCTCACCCGGTACCTCTTCCGAGCCTCGCTGCGCACCCGCACCCTCTCCTCCTCCGCCCCCCCCTCCTCCTCACCCTCCTCCTCCTCATCCTCCCCTTGTTTGTCTCCTGCCCCACCGCCAGCACCAGCGGCAGCAGCAGCAGCAGGAGGGGCAGGAGCAGCAGCAGGAGCGGCAGGAGCAGCAGCAGGAGCGGCAGGAGCAGCAGCAGGAGCGGCAGGAGCAGCAGCAGGAGCGGCAGGAGCAGCAGCAGGAGCGGCAGGAGAATGAGGCGCATGCTCTACATCTCTGCATTCCACATGACTGCTGTCGTCAGTGCCACTAGAAACACCTACTGCTGCCACGCTGCCTGCGGCAGGTGCATCCTTTGCTGCAGGATCAACGTTTTCTGCAGTCGCACCGTTTTCTGCAGTCGCACCGTTTTCTGCAGTCGCACCGTTAGCTGCAATCGCGTTGTTCCTTTCAATCCCATCATTCGCAGAGCTATCTACAGCGCTTGCATTTGATGCCAACACCACATCCTCGCCACTCACCTTCCCCACACCCTCTGCCCCTTCTCCCGCCGCCCCTTCAGCATCCACCACACCACTACCTTCTCCGCCCTTCCCTCTCCTTCCTCGCCTCTCCTCCCTCCGTCTGCGCCTCGCTTCTCTCCGTCTGATGGTGGTGCACCCATCACAGCCCCAAGCATCGTCCCCGCGCAGCACCTCCTCGGCGCTGAACTCACACAGACACCCCTCCACTGACATGCGCGCCGCTGCCTGCTGCTGCTTCTGTTGTTGCTGCTGCGGCAGCTTTTGCTGCGGCTGCGGCTGCGGCTGATCTGACAGAAAGCCCACCCTCCGCCCCTTCCCTTTCTCCGTGCTCACGCTCACAACGCCACCCTTCTGTGCGCCCGCTGCACTGCTGCTGCTTGCCACACTGCCACCCATACTGCTGCTGCCCATGGCACTGACGCTGCTGCTACAGCTGCTGCCACTGCCGGCCTCTCTGCTGGAGGGTTCAACCCCACTGCAGGCGCCGGTGACTGTGCTGTTGTCAGCCTGCCTCGCACTCCCATCCCTGTTCCCCCCCTCTTCTCTCACCCTCTGCTCCTCCCTGCCCTCACAACTAGCACCTCTCCCCTCACCCCCTGTCTCCTCAGCAGCCCGACCATCAACTGCACTCCCTTCAGCACCCCTCCCCTCAGCAGCCTTTCCGTTCACACCAGCGCCACTGCTGCTGGTCTCGCCACCATCCCCTGCGGGCGCCTCTCCCTCTGCACGCGCCTCGCCTGCATGCACTTCTCCCCCTTCCACTGCTGCTCCCTGTTGTTCCTCTTCCACACCACCACCTGTCACACCACCTGCCACGCCACTTGACCCGTCACCCGCCAAATCACAAGGCACTGCCGCTTCCTCACCATTCTCAGCACCCGCTAGCGTTGCTTCCACCTCCCTGCTGCTGATACTACTGTTACCAATGCTGCTGCTGTCGCTGTTACCATTGCTGCTAATGCTGCTGCTACCATCACTGCCTGCGCCAGTCTCTGTGCGTCCTTCACTCGCCTCCCCATCACCCACATTCCCTTTCACCCCCTCCGCCGCCCTTCCCTCCCTTCTCTCCTCCCCCTTCCCCTCTACCTTCGCCTCCCCGCCCTCTGCTGCCCCCCCTTGGTCACCCCGTCCCTTTTTCCCATCTCTCTTCTCTACGGCCGTCCACTCGCCCAGCCCCGCGCCCTTCAACCCCACGTGCCCCTTCCTGCTGCTCTGCACTGCCACGTGCGCGCGGGGGGAGGGCGGGGGGGCGGCAACGGGGATGGGGAGGGAGAGGTCGAGGAAGGGCTCGCTCACAGTGGACGAGTGCCCGCACTCGCAGCACACCACCGTGCTGCTCAACACCCCGCCAAACAGCCTCTCCACCACACTCAACCTCTTCACATTCTCTCCCCCTCCCCCTCCGCGTCCCCCCTCCCCATCCTGCCCTGCCTCCGCCCCATCCTCGTCCTCCTCCTCGCTTTCCTCCTCGCCCCGCTCTTCTTCCTCCCACCCCGCTCCCCCACCGCCCGCCTCCTCCGCGCTCCCGTCCCCCTCCAGCCATCCCAGCCCCATGCCGTCTCCGCCCTCCTCCCCCCGCTCCTCCCTCAGTCGCTGCACCTCCTCCGCGGCAGCGCCCCCCTCCACGCGCCTCAGCCGCGCTATCGCCTGCCCCAGCCCCGCACTCAAGTCCCCCATTGCTCCCAAACCGCCCAGTCTCTCCGCCTTCCCCCCGTCCTTTTTCCCCCCTGCCCCTCCTGCAGCGTTCGCTGCAGGGAGGGATGGGGGCGGAGGGGGAGGCGGCGGGGCGGATGAGGGAGGAGGGGGAGGCGGCGGGGCGGAGGGGGGAGGAGGGGGCGGGGGCGGAGGCGGGGTGGGAGGAGGGGGAGGTGCGCGAGGGGAGGCATTAGCGCGAGTCGGGGGCGGGGGAGGAAGCGGGGGAGGGGGCGGGGGAGCAGCGGATGCAGCTAGACGTTTCTTCTTGCGGGCAGCAGCAGCGGCGGCAGCAGCAGTGCCGTCCTCCTCCTCCTGCAGCAGCTGCAGCAGGCAGCGCAGCAGCTCGTGACTGTCCTGCTGCTCGTACCCTCTGAACCGTGGCGCCTGCCTGCACACCGCACCAAACAGCTCCCGCGGATTGTAAGGCGGCGCTTTCCCCCCCCTGCCCTCCGCCTCGTGCTGCTGCGCCCGCTTTCCCCCGCCCCCCTTGCCATGCTTCCCCCCCGCGCCCCGCTTTCCTCCTCCCCCCGCGCGGGCTGTTGATCTGCGCGAGTGGAGCGCCTTGCCCTTTGGCACGTGGCCGCGCGGACTGCAGATGCTTTCTTCTGATTGGCTGCCTGGGGCAGCTGCATCAACGGCACCAGCGGCATCATCAGCAGCAGGCACGAGGCCCGGGTTCAAGTCTTCAAAGACACGCCTCAGGGCCATTCCAATGGGCCCCTTGAATCTCCTCTTCGTCCCCCCCACCTTCACTCCTCCCCCCTTCCGTCCCCCGCCAACCTTCCCCTCTAACCCCTCCTTATCCCCCCCATCCGCGTCCGCACCTTCATTGCCCCCTCCGCCATCGCCCCGCCTCTCTGTCCCCGTGTCCGCCAGAGCAGGTGCCTCGACACGTGGCAACTCCGGATTGGCGAGGAAGTGGTCTCGGAGCGCGGGGATGGCGACGAGGTTCTGAAGGACGGAGTTGAAGAAGCACGTGTTGCCCAGATTGCTCAGCCCGCGCACCGGCCCCTCGACCCCCGCGCCCGCTTGCCTCTCAACCTCCCCCTCCCCTTCCCCATCTCCACCCTCCCCCTCCTCCGCCTCCTCCTTCTCTCCCTCGTTTGCTGCCCCCCCACCTTTCCCCGCTCCGCTCTTCTTCTCTCTCCCTTTCGCAGCAACCACCGCACCCCGCCCCTCCTTCGCCTTCCCTCGCCCCTCCCCTGTCTCCGTCGCTCCCTCCTTCGGCCCCCCTTTGCTCTGCTCCGCCGCCTTAGCGCGCGCCACTTCCGCGCGCCTCTCCGCCAGCAGCAGGAGGAACTCGCGGAGCGGATGGTCCAAGGGGAGGCTTTGCGCCCATGGCGCGCCCCCCTCAGCAACACTATCCCCAGCAGCACTCCCCCCTTCACTCGCATGGGTGGTCCCAGCATTCGCTGACGTGTCACTCCGCGCCTCTCCCCCTCCCGCCTCCCCCTGTCCCTCCGGCTCCTCCACGACCGGAGTTTCTTCCGTTTGCGCGCACTCGACGCCATCCGCCTGCGCGCGCTCGTCGCCATCGGCGCGCAGCAGCACGCAGCGGTGGCAGCGGAAGCACCAGACGCGCAAGGACTGCGCGTGCGCCATCAGCGCGTGGCTCTTCAGCTGACTCCAGTGCTGCTGCGCGTGCCCGTAGCCGCTCTCCCGCGCGCCAGCGCCCTCCCCATCCCTTCCGCCATAACCTTTCCCTGTTTCCGCATCCCCTTCCGCCATTTTCGCATCTCCGCAAAACCCCCGCGCGCACACCAGGCACACCCAGAGCGACTCATCCGCCGTACCCGTTATAGGCGTCGCGTGCTCCTTCTTGCTACTAGCCAATCGGTGGCTGTGCTGGCTGCACGGATCGCACGCATCCACGTGGCGCTTCTTCAGCTCGCGAGTGAACTTCTTCAGATCTAACCCCTTGTGGTGATGACACGTGGCAACGCGAGCCAACGACTCGTCCTCTTCCTCACCCACCATCGCATCATTCGCCAAAACTTCCGATCCAGGAATACAACCAGCCGAAGCTGCTTGCGACGAATCGGCATCACTGGCGCTAGTTTGAAACTCAGTTGCCTGCGTGGCACTGTTTGATTGGTCGTTACACGTTGACGTGGCACTCTCAGCTGCTGCGGACGACTCACCAGGTGTCCGCGCAGGTGCGGTTTGACCTGCCGCCTTGGCCTTGCGTTGTTGCTTCCGCTTCGACATCGCGGCCGCTGAGCGGCCGTCGTCGCAGCGACGAAGTCCCACGGCGACCGCGACTCAACTTGCCTGGTCAGGACTGTCCTACAGGTAGAGTGGTGTGGTGAACCTAGAAGGGATGCACAATTACAGGAATCCGCTGATCATGGAACTGAGTGGTCGAGTGTGTTTGGTTGGTGGTCTAGGAATCGGAATCTCCTCCTGTGGTTGTCAAGGTCATCAAAAGTGGCCCTCGATAATACCGCAACCATACCGAACACGGGAAGCCAGATGCAAGGAAAATACACCGCCTATTACTTTATAATACATGAAATGAAGGAACAAATCCACTTTCATCTCCTTTCAGTAACACATTTACAGATTTAAATATCAAACCTGTGGAAGGTGCGCTACCTTCCAGCAAATCATGAGTCGATGCTCCGAGGTGAGCTTTTATTGCCAAGCAAGGGGCTCTCTAGCGATGGCTGGGTGATTTCATCTGACGACTCGTCCAGGTGTGTCGTCAGCACAATGCCGCCCGCAAGGAGAGATGAGACGAGGGGCAGCAGAAAAAGGACCCACCGCACAATAGATCGCGGGCAGGTGGGGCTGGTGGGACCACAAAACACTTCTTTTGCTGCACAGCACAGCACAGCACAGCACAGCACGTCACAGGACAGGGGTAGAATTAAGAGATTATTACTAATAGCCAATTACATGTTCACTCATGCAGGAAGCAGGCAACAGGCAGGAGGCAGCAAGATGAAACTTGTGTTATGGTTGGGGGCGTGGGAGGGACTGACAGTTGAAGGCCTGGATGGCGACGAGTGCGATGCCGCAGGTGAACTTGTCGAGGAAGGACAGCGAGCCGTATACAAAGGCGCACACCGACACATGCTGCCCCACCAACACCCCCTCCAGACTCGTTGCCGTCACCTGATGGGATGCGGCAGGGGAAACGCATGCATAAAGAGGAGGGAGGAGGAGGGGCACCGGGAAAGCAATTAATGGAGCCACCATAGTGTGGTGGTGGCAGGGTGTGCAGTTGCGACTGTGAGCGAAGCAATAGAACGGAGTGCAACAGCATGAGGGGTAGGGAGGAGGACGTACGAGCATGAGAGCATTGGAGACGCCGACAACGAGCGCGAGGGCGTAGACCACGAGCTCCATGGACGGCCCTGCGTCCACATAGAGGAAGGCTGCACTCGCCCCCGCCCACAGCACCGCTCCCACGCTGAACGCCACCCTCATTCGCCCCATGTCCCAGTGCAGCTCCTGCGAGGGGGTGGAGATGGGATGGGGATGGGTGGGGAGGGAAGGTGAGGAGGAAAAGGTGTTGCTTGAGGCAAATCAAATGCTGACATGCTCCACGCCACCCTCACTCGCCCCGTGTCCCAGTGTGGCTCCTGTGAGGTGGGGAGGGGGAGATGTGGGGTGGGGGAAGGGGGAAGGGGAAGGACTTGACAGATTGGCGAGGAAGGAGATGGGAGGAGAAGAAGAGCGCAGATACAATGGGCGAGGTGGGGATCGAGAAGAGGTGAGAATGATGGCACTAGTTAGAGTGAGCGAGAGGGAATGAGTTGAAGCAGAGTGACATGAGCAAGAGGGAGAAAGAGGTGTTACCTGCAGCACAACGGAGGTGATGAAGCTGCAGATGAAGATGAGCGCTGGGATCTGATGCGCGCACAGGGGCGCAGTGAGGGGCAGTGGGACGGGCGGGAGCGAGGAGTAGTGAGAGAGGGGGTACAGGGAGGCCGTGTGGCATGGTGCAGAGGGTGGGCAGGGAGAAAGGGAGAGGGGTAGGGGGGAGAAGTGGAGGAGCAATGAATAAGCATCAGCAGGCGGTGAGATGAGGGAATGAGATATCAGGCAATGCGATTAAGCATCGTGGCAAGGCAGTTCCATTGGGCAAGGTGGGCGAGGAGGAAACTCACGGTGGCTTTGGCGGAGGGGTGCAGGCCCAGGTCGAATATGAGGAAGAAGGGCAGCATGGCCTGGGGGAGGGGGACGGGAAGGTTGGGGGGAGGGAGGGAGGAAGTGGGGAGGGAGGGAGAGAGAGTGGCGGTTTAGGACTGGCGTGTGAGATCAATGATGTGTGCGCTGAGCACAAGGGCTTGAATAGAATCAGGGCGCAAGGTTTCTGTTACTTGAAGGCATTGCTTTTACCTGGAGACAGATTGCTGAACCGATATAAACACTTGCTGACTTGGGAAATACTAGTGCTTGGTTTTCTTCCTAATTTGGGACATATTATTGTTTCCTAGCTGACCTGAGAGACGTTGGTGATGAGTCGCACGAACATGTAGACTGCCGCCACCTGGAAGTATGCCAGCTGGCGGAACCAGAACAGCCACGCTGGCACTGCCTTCTCCGCTTCCTCTGATTGGCCGTTCTTGGCTGCCCACTGCTGTAATTGGTCGGTGCTGTCGTCGGCGGATTGGTCAGTGCAGAAGGAGCGGGAGGAGGGCAGGCGCACTGGCACACGGGCGACACTGGGGGGGTGGGAGGCGAGGGACGAGGCGAGAGAGGCAAGGCGAAGCAAGGGGCGGATTGGTGGTGGTGCGCACTGATGACGCACATACACATGGCTGTGGGGTGAATAACGCAAGCACGGCATGACAGGGCACGGGATGACAGGGCAGGGCGTGGCACTCACGTGGGCTCGCGCACCCCGGCGTAGAAGACGAGCAGGAAGGCGGCGCCTGAGGTGAGCGCCACAAAGGAGATCCACCGGTACTGCGCCTGCACCTGTGCTTGAAAAGAGACGTGGTGGGCGAACGGGGGAGGGGGACGGGGGGAGTGAGGGGGAAGGGGAAGACCTATTGGTTCTGCGCCTGCACCTGGAGAGGAGGATGGGAGGGGAGGTGGGGATGGACGCAGCAGCATGTTCTCATGTTGATTCCACTGACATGTTGAAACAGCTCACAAGGTCCAATCGATTGAACGGCACAAGGGGATATTGTTTCAAAAGAACGGTTGCAAAAGAGGTGTGTTGGCGCTACAGCATCCGCATATCAGGGTAGTGTGCGCATGTGGGGGGTGAGTGGTTACGTGTTTTTGTAAATTCTCAAAGGGAGGGCGAGAGCACACCAGGGACGGATCATTTCACCTGGGAGGGGTGGTGGGCACCTGGGCAGGGTCGTGGGCACCTGGGAGGGCGAGAGCACACCTGGGCAGGGTCGTGGGCGGGGAAGAGGGAGAAGGCGGCGAGGGCGATGGCGAAGAGGGCGAGGTTGGCCACCATGGTGAAGGCGTTGCGACAGCTGTTCATCGCCACCCTGCTGCTGGGGTTGGCCGTTAGACAGTTCACCATCGCCCTGGTTGTGAGGGAGGGATTGGGGGGAAATGGGAGCAGGAGGGGGAGAGAGAGGGCGGAGAAGGGCAGGGTTTGGATGGGTGTGAGGGGGCAATGCGGGTGCTGAGGGGGAGGGGGGAGGGGTTGCAAGGGGGTGTGGGTGTGATATGGAAGGAAGGCAGTTGATGTGTGTATGAGAGGGAGAAAGTGGGAGGGTGAAAGCGCGCAGGGGTGCTCTCGAGAACAGAGTTTCTGCACTCGCAAGTAGCATGCTCACACAAGCATTGGCAGGCTCGACTCGTCCCTAATCCCTGGCCAGCAAGCCTGCCTGCCACGCTCACTTGTGTAACACCTGCCAGCCCCACTCACATGTGCGACACCTGCGTGGCGGCCCAGCCACAGTTGAAAACAGCAGCAAAGACGCTGTAGCTGGCGGTTTCAACGAGCGTGGAGTTGGAGGCGAGCAGGCGGCACACGAGGCACCCGCCGAAGACGGAGGAGAAGGACACCACGGTGCACACCGACCCGCCAAAGTGCCACAGCTTGTAGTGCCCAAACCGGTCGATCTGCAGGGGAATGACGGGTGGCAGGGAAAGGAGGGAGAAGCCACAAACGCGCACACACACATCGCATCGTTTACTTGCTGCTACTAACGTTTCTCATAGAATCTATGAGTCTGGGAAGACAAGGGTTGTTGGTAAATTCCCCATCTCTACAACACGAGATGGGAATGCTTTTGGGCTTGCCAAAACGTTCAGGGCTGTTTTGTCTCATATTCGCACCTGTTACGTCCACCGCTCCTGTCCACCCGTGTCTCCCCATGCTGCCTCTATCACGACGCTTCCCATGCCCACCATTGCTCCCATTGCAAGCATGCGTGCCCACTATTGCTCCCATTGCAAGCATGCGTGCCCACCATTGCTCCCATTGCAAGCATGCGTGCCCACCATTGCTCCCATTGCAAGCATGCGTGCCCACCATTGCTCCCATTGCAAGCATGCGTGCCCACCATTGCTCCCATTGCAAGCATGCGTGCCCACCATTGCTCCCATTGCAAGCATGCGTGCCCACCATTGCTCCCATTGCAAGCATGCGTGCCCACCATTGCTCCCATTGCAAGCATGCGTGCCCACCATTGCTCCCATTGCAAGCATGCGTGCCCACCATTGCTCCCATTGCAAGCATGCGTGCCCACCATTGCTCCCATTGCAAGCATGCGTGCCCACCATTGCTCCCATTGCAAGCATGCGTGCCCACCATTGCTCCCATTGCAAGCATGCGTGCCCACCATTGCTCCCATTGCAAGCATGCGTGCCCACCATTGCTCCCATTGCAAGCATGCGTGCCCACCATTGCTCCCATTGCAAGCATGCGTGCCCACCATTGCTCCCATTGCAAGCATGCGTGCCCACCATTGCCCCCATTGCAAGCATGCGTGCCCACCATTGCTCCCATTGCAAGCATGCGTGCCCACCATTGCTCCCATTGCAAGCATGCGTGCCCACCATTGCTCCCATTGCAAGCATGCGTGCCCACCATTGCTCCCATTGCAAGCATGCGTGCCCACCATTGCTCCCATTGCAAGCATGCGTGCCCACCATTGCTCCCAGGGCAAGCATGCGTGCCCACTATTGTTCCCTTTGCCAGGAAGCGTGTCACTCACCAGTTCGCCGGCCACGAGGGTGGCCGCAGCATCAGCAAATTGGCCCGACAGCATTACCACGCCCGCCTGCCTGCACGCCCGCGCGTGGACCCAGGGAGCATGCACCAGCGAGGGGCGAGACGGGGACAGGGGTGAGACGAGAGCGAGGAGGAAAAGGAACGGAAGGGAGCTGTCAGGGAGCAAACTTTGCCACCAAGCCAAGCACGCATTGTAACATCCAGAAGCATTCCACGCACCGGCGCTCACTGCCGTTCGCTTGCGCAATTCTGTGCGCTGATTTTTTCTTATGGGAGCTACCAATTTGGTGAGCAATTTTCGCGACAGACCACAGCAGTCTTACTTGCACTAGGTCGTACTTAGGGGGAATGTGTGCGTACTTGGAAGGCCAGTGCAACATACGTACACGAGCGACCAACGGGACGTACTGAGGGAAGAGGGCGAGGGGACGTACTGCGGGGAGAGGCCGATGTCGGAGAGGTAGATGAGGAGGTAGGTGAACCAGCATGCGGCCGTGATGTCGTTCAGCATGTGCCCCGTACCGTACGCCACCACCTGCCACCGCGGCAACGGCCGCCGGCACGGGCCCAGCGGAAGCACCGCATCGCTTCCGGTGGAGCCTCGGCTGAGCGATGGCTCTAGAAGCGGGAGATAACCGTCCTGGGGGGGATCTGCGCCGCCGTCTGCTGCGGTTTTTACGGCGTCATTTCCGTTGGTTAGCAGGGGAACGACTATGGAGACTTCTGAAGTGGAATCGCGTTGCGACGAGGACGGACCCATTTGCGCTGTACGGAGAGACTGTACGATGTGGTGGGGAGCTAACAGACAGCAATTCGTCACAACAGATACTAGACAGCTAATTGACCACGGATCGACCTAACGCAGACTAATTAATTTCTATGGCGAGAATCAGAAGGCTAAGAAGGTCGCGAGAATTGCTTCTACGAAGGAAAACGGGTCGGAAACTTCACAAACAAGCCAGTTCAACGCATGCTGGCATAATCCTGCCAGATGGGAATGCGAATACTGTTGCTTTTATGCCCACGTTGCGCTGGAGTGACACGTCAGCTGGATCAGCCATGGCCGCCTAGCCAACCAGCCACGAAAAACGCTGTGCTGCTTTCCAGCTTCTCAGACCGCGTCTGCTGTCATCGTCCAGCGCAGATGGGAGCTTGAGGCGCACAGGAGCCTAGAGGCAGCAAATGACTCCGCTGGGTGGGAGGGAGCAAGCTAGAGGCTGTGAGGGACTGGTGGAGGTGAGTGCGGAGTATCCAGACGGACTGTTGGACCTCGGGAATTCATTTGGAACTGCCTTGTTTGCTCTTCGCTTCGCTCGCTTTGGGGACAACTTCAGCCGCAATCTAATTAAGCCAGCGCGGTTCGCGAATGCGATCCCTAACAGTCCGCCTGGAAGAAGCTGATGGGTCGTAATCTGCCCGCGGTCAGAAAAACATAAACCCCTAATGGATGGCATGCGATTAGGGGAGCCCCAACCCTAAACACGGGGAGCCCCAACCCTAAACACGGGCAGCCACGTGGTTCTGCCCGAAAAGATTGCATTCGCAAACCCGCACTGGGAAAATGAGATCGCAGTTCGAATTGACCGCTCGCTTTGCATATTCGACATGGTGGTGGTGTCGCAGGACGCGGCAAGTACGAACCGTTCCGGAGATGTCAGATGAAACTGAACCCAGCCAGTCATTCATTCTAGTTTCATCTACCGCTACCATGCTGCCCGTACGTACGCAACACCACCGTACGTGGGGTGTATTGGCGGTCTTGAGGATTCGAGTGCGGCAAATCATCGTCTCGCAACGCGCCCATTGATGGGAAGGAAGGACAACGGTCGGATCGTGAAACGTGGCGCAACGAAGAACCCTGGATGAATTGTGATGGACGTTGGACACTCGTCCTTATGGATGTTAACAGGTACCGAGTACCAAGTGTATAATAGCCATCGCACACGGTGTTTTACGTCGAAGTAATTGTTATCACGAGACTTTTGGCACCAATATTCAACCTACCTAAAGGTGGGCTCTCTCCCACTTCCAGCGGCATCGGAACTGCAGCACTCCACATCTGATGATATAGGAAAGGCAACTTAAACCACTCAAACAAAACAACACAATGATCTAAGCCGTAAGAAACAAATCATGAAAGAACTAGAGCGCACATCAGACCGGGTATGCCGACAAAAACACTAAAATTGGCAGCTTCCAACCACAATGCATCCATTTCAATGGTGATGATGGTGATGGTGGTGCCGAGACTTCTCCCCCACTCCTGCACTGCTCCCACCAGCCACGCCCGACCTACTCCGATGCGTCGAATGCCCGCCCGTGGCCGTGCGAGTGCGGGACGAATGATGAGCCCCACTGCTCGACCCATGGTGAGTCCTGTGGTGCCCATCCTTCGACCCCCCTCCACTCCCCGACCCACTCACTCCTCCTGTCCCAGCCTTCCTGAGCCCGCTGCTGCTGTTCCCGCCAGTGCGGTGCCGTGAGGTGCTGCCACCAGCGGTGCGAGAGGCGGAGCGGGAGGAGTGCCCGTGGTGCAGCTGGGGCGCACTGGCCCCTCGCGCCTTGAGCGGGTCGGAGAGCGCGTCGCGAGACGAGGGCGTCTTGATGGGGCGCTGGTTCAGGTACAGCAGCTGTGGCAGCAGGCCTGGCGGGCAGAAAGGGAGTTTGGGAGAGTGGGTGGTAGAGATGGGCATGAAAGACCCGCGTGCATGCAACAGCCAGCCAGATGCGCACGCACAACAAACAGACCCGAGCCAAGTCTCCTCCCCCCACACGCATCAGCACGCGTGAGCCCAGCCACCCACCCAACCAGCAACACCCCCCAACGCACCAATGAGGTAGCGCTTGAAGGCGTCATCCCCCAGGTTCACATGGATGGGGTTTCCTGCGAGGTTGAGTGCACGCAGCGAGGCGTAGTTGGCGGCGAGCTGGCCGAGGGCCTTGGTGGTGGTGACCTTGTTGGCGCCCAGGTCGAGCACGGTGAGCTTGAGCAGGCGGTGCAGCCCCTCCACCTCCCCCACCCTGTTGCCCGCTAGGTACAGCTCCCTCAGCGCCACACACCCCGACAACCCTGGAAGATGGGACCGAGAGGCCGAGTCGCGGAGGATGAAGGAGAGCAGGGAGGATTTGGAGGGAGAAAAAAGAAGTGTCGAGAGAGGGGAGAGGGGGGACCAAGGACGGATTGAGAAGGCTCAACGACCATAACTCATCACTACCTCTTTGTGTAACCCCCTCACGCCCCCTGCACACAGCACTCAGCCCCCCCTGCACGCACCGTGCAGCCCCCCCCTCCGTGCTGCCTACTCTCTTTCCAAAACCTCCCCTTCCCCACGCGCCAATCCCCCAGTGCACGCACCGTGGCCGATGCGGGCGAGGCGGTTGTTGGAGAGGTTGAGCACCTTGAGGCGTGAGAGCTCTCTTAGCCCCTCCACAGCGGCCAGGCGGTTGTGTGACAGGTCCAGGATGTGCAGCGACCTCGGCAGCACCCCTGTTGCCACCGACGCTGTTGGGATGGACCACGGTGGGGAGTGGGGTGGGGTTGGAGAATTTGTAAGGTCCCCTGTCATGGGTTCTTTCTTGAACCAAAACATTGTCTCTCCGTATCATCGCTTGACCTTGTCTATGCCTCTTTCAATGGCTTGCCTTATACAGCCCCTTATTCGACAGTCTTAGGTTTGAGGAAGTCTGGGAGTGAGTGGTGTGGTTGGGAGCAGCGAGGTGAGTGGGGGGTAAAAGACCAGGGGCTGCAAAGCAATGCAAGAAGGAAAACGCTGCAAGAGCACCTGGATAGGAGGGAGGGCCAATTTGCAAGTAGCACACACACACACGAGGGGATGCGGGGGTGGAGGGGAGGGTTGGCGGGGAGGGAGCATGGCAAGTTTGCACACGCAGAGCAGCACGCACGCCGCACGCCCCACTCACTGATGTTGTTGCGCGACAGGTCGAGCGTCTTGAGCGACGAGAACGCCCCCAGCGGCGGAACGACCAGCAGCCCGCGCATGGACAGGTACACGGCCGCCGCGTGCTTGTCCAGCCCGCGCACCACCCTCCCCGCATGCTCCGCCGCCGCCGCCGCCCCCACAGCCACCGCGGCCTGCAGATTCCCCGCCGCCGCCGCGCCCCCTCCGTGCATGTGGCCGTGCGACATGGAGCGCTTGCTCATGCCGCTGGAGGAATGGTGGTGGTGGTGGTGGGGTGCGGGAGGGGAATGGGGCGGGAGTTGCGCGCTGCTGCTGCTTCCGCCGCCGCCGCCCTTGCTGCTGCCGATGCTGCTCCAGTGCTCGATGCTCTCAGACGGCTCCCACTGCCCGCGCGGGAGGCACCGCACCCACGCCTCCACGCGCGGGATGCCCGCCAGCCACATCGCCGTCATCTCCCCCGCCTTCCCCGCCTCCTTCGCCTCTCCTCCCGCCACACCTGCCGCTTTCCCCGCGGACGCTCCGCCAATGCCCTCCCCCGAGCCGATGGTCCCCGCGCCTGCGCTTCCTTCCACTGCGGAGAGCTGCACGTCCCCCAGCTCCGGCATGGACTGCGCGTCCGCCGCAATGGCGTCCGCGCCGGCTGCCGCTTCGCCGACGGGGGAAGATGCGCCTGTGGGCGGACAGGCGAGGAGGAGGTCCCCCGTGGTGCGGATGCGCGGAAGAAGCATGTCCGAGCGGGGCTCGGTCCGCCCCGCCTGGTCGCTGGTTGCGCCCTCACTGGCTGCGGAATCCCCCGCGCCAACGTCCTCTCCGGCGGGGATGGCGGAAGCGTCCCGCTGCGGAAGGCCATCCGCGCCCCTGGCGTCAACGGCGGACGGGCCCAAGGAAAACGGCTCTTCTCCCCCTCTTGGCGCTTCCGCTTCCTCCCCCTCCGGGCTGAAGTACATTTCCGCCCGCGAGGCGCGAATCTCCTCCCGCGCATCCCGCGCAGCCTCCTGCGCCGCCTCCTCCTCCGCCTCCTCGTCCCACGGCAGCACCGACAGCGGCCCCGACACCCCCAGCTGCAGGTGATCCAGGAGCAGCGCCGTGTCGGAATGCGCGGACGCTTGGCTCCGCGTATCGTCGTCGGCTTCCGCCTCGCCCCCGCTGCCTGCCTCCCCTTCCGCCACCGCCTGCGCCTCCGCCCAGTCATCTTTCATGTTCTCGAGGTGCCCTGTCATGTTGTGCCACATCGTACCGTACTCCGCCGCGTGCGCCGACTCCGCGTCGTCCGCGTGCTGCCCGTCTGCGCTGCCGTCCTGCGGAAGCGACGTGCGCCAGAACTGGAACCCCATGACGTCATCGTTCCCGTGACGGTTATCGTTATCGTCATCGTCATCGTAGTCTCCATCCGCGCCGAATCTGTCTGCTCCCGTCCCATCCCGATAACCACACGCTTCGTCCCTATCCTCCTCGAGCCTTTCCCTCTCTTCCCTCTCTCCCCCCTCGTCTCCCCCGTCCCCGTCTGCGCGGATCTTACCGCGGTCGCCGTCGGGCTGCAGTCCGCCGTGCGCGTCGAACATGTGCGCATAGTCGTCGTGCTCCATCGTCGTGCGACTGCGACTCCAAAGGGCGACATTCTCCACGGACGCGTCGCTTAGCGACGTGCGCTTCTCTGCCTCCTCGCGCGCCAACACCGCGTCCCCGCGATTCTCTCCAGGAGAACCATCGAGATCTCCAGCGGTAGGGCTGACCGGCGTCGTGTGCGAATAGTTGGACTTGTTCGCGACGTCGTCGTCCGGGTTGCACCATCGCATGGCCTGCGACAGCGCCACCTCGTTCGCGGTCTCCTGCTGGAAATAAACACCCGGGTCGCTCAAGTGGTCCATCATCCCGTCATCATCCGCGTCCTCCACGTCAGCATGGAATCCTTCGTCGTGTCGCTCCATACGCTCGTCGTCCCGCGGATCTGCGACCGCCACCCCGGCCTCCCCTCCGCTCGCCATGCCCTCACCCACCGACCGTGTATCTCCCCTCCCCGTGCCGCGTCACCTTGCCGTCACCCAGTCCTCCCGCGACGACCGGCGAAACCCCAACCACCACCCCGACCACGCTTCCGCAGATCTCGCCGCTAACGGTGGAAACTCGATCACCAGGGCCGATTCGGCTCCAGGACAGGCAGGCGAGTGGATCCCGGCCTGCTCGCGCGGCGAACTCGCGGGCACGCGGCATCAACGTGCTCTGCACCCCTCGCAGGAGCTCGCGCCCAGCCAGATCGCCAACCATCCAGCGACGCTCGCTCCTAAGGAGCACTGATTAACGCCTAGCGTGCAACAGAAGCTAATGACCAACAAGGCTAAGGACTACTACCGAGGGTGGACAGACTAAGCAGTTACAAGTGGTTAATCCGATGATCTCAAGGGCATAATGCATCTGAGAATCCGAGGCTGTGCTGGTGAGAGTCATGAATCCATCGCGTGTTGGGTGGAGGGTTCATCCCCTGTTGTCATGGATGGGCTCACTTCACACTCACTGCTGGGGTTCCAGTGGTGTTGGTTCGCTGCCGCTGCCTTGCACTTCGGGAATACCGAGTTTGTGGCTTCGCTCCGTCAGCTCGGGCGGAGTTTCGGCTGGCTGGCAGTCCCCGTGTGCACCGTTGGATGGTGTGCGCCGCTCTGGCGGCTGTCGGGCAAATCGACTGTGGGTGCCCAAACGCCCACTGCACTGCACAACCTTGGGAGTGTCATGAACACATCGGGAATCCGCGTTACGGAGGTGTCCAGAAACATCCACAGGATCTTCTGGTTCATAATAAAAATAACATACATGCGTTTCACACATAAAACACACTCAGGAATTCGAGAATCTTAACTTGACTGACTGCTTTCTTTGCGCCAAAGCCCTCATGACACTCCTAAACGCCCCCGCTGAAGCCACATCACGTGCCAACTCGCCTTGCTCCTTATCAAGGATTCTATAAAAGGGATTATACTGCAAACTTGCCCATGCAAAGTGCACCCACACTCGCCGCAGTGCAGCTTGCTTAAGAGCGAGCTCTTGTGGGGGGATGCTGGTGAGGATGCCGTGGAGGTGGGGGATGTCTGCCGGAGTCAGCCTCACTGAGAAGTCGTCCCAGTCCAAAAATCCATCCCCTTCAAATGGCATGCTCACATTGGGCTGGTGTGGGAGGGGGGAATGAGTGAGAAAGAGAATTCAGGCAAAGTCACAAGGATGCTAAGCATTTAAATGGAGTGAAAATAAATGTGCTTGTTAGCTGAAAGGATAAGGAGCTCTCACTTGTATAATCACTGGAATGCATCCAAGTGTCACCGCCTGAGTGGCCGTCTCATCAGCACCCCACCCCCCCGCCACCAGACAGAACACCGACCGAGCCATCCGCTCCAAGTACCCTCCCCTTCCCCCAGTCTCCCCTCCCACTCCTCCTTGCCCCTCCCCAAAATCCCCCTCCCCCGGTGTGCGCTCTATGACAAACCCCTTGGGCACAGCAGCAGCAGAGTCAAGCGAGTCAAACCAGTCAAACAGGGCCTGCCGCACCCCAAACGAGTAGTTAAAGCCCAACAGTGGTTCCACGTCCTGCCCATCAAACCCGCAGAAGAAGAAGAAAATATCCCGGCCACCAGTCTGCCCGTTTTCTCCTTGAACGCCCATGGCCGCCTCATACACCTCGGGCAGCAAAACGGGCGGGATAACAACATCCTGCCCGGGAATGAAGCAGCCAGGCAGGGCGGCATCAAACGGCATGTTCCCTGAGTACCCCCACAGCGACAGCACTGTGCTGCGCGCCAGCATCGGGTCTCGCCGCCCGGCCTCGCCGACCTCACATGCCGCCCAGTCATCATTGGCAAGGAAGACGTGGTTGGCGCCAGCATGGCGGTCCCAGTAGGGCCACGCGTCCCTTATGTGCTCGATGGCCCACGACAGCACACTCTGCTTTGCTATGCCTCGGTGCCTGTGGAAGGGCAGGGAGGAGGCGACGCAAGTATGGGGACTGGGCTATCAATGTGCAGGTTTGAGGTGCAGGTTTGAGGTGCAGGTTTGACGTGCAGGTTTGAGGTGCAGGTTTGAGGTGCAGGTTGGAGGTGCAGGTTTGAGGTGCAGGTTTGAGGTGCAGGTTTGAGGTGCAGGTTGGAGGTGCAGGTTTGAGGTGCAGGTTTGAGGTGCAGGTTTGAGGTGCAGGTTTGAGGTGCAGGTTTGAGGTGCAGGTTTGAGGTGCAGGTTTGAGGTGCAGGTTTGACGTCAGGTTTGACGTCAGGTTTGAGGTGCAGGTTTGAGGTGCAGGTTTGAGGTGCAGGTTTGAGGTGAAGGTTTGAGGTGCAGGTTTGAGGTGCAGGTTTGAGGTGCAGGTTTGAGGTCAGGTTTCAGGTGCAGGTTTGACGTCAGGTTTGAGGTCAGGTTTGACTTCAGGTTTGAGGTGTAGGTTTGAGGTGCAGGTTTGAGGTGCAGGTTTGACGTCAGGTTTGAGGTCAGGTTTGAGGTCAGGTTTGACATCAGGTTTGAAGTGCAGGTTTGAGGTCAGGTTTGACGTCAGGTTTGAGGTGCAGGTTTGAGGTGCAGGTTTGACGTGCAGGTTTGACGTGCAGGTTTGACGTGCAGGTTTGAGGTTAGGTTTGAGGTTCAGGTTTGACGTCAGGTTTGATGTCAGGTTTGAAGTCAGGTTTGACTTCAGGTTTGAGGTCAGGTTTGACGTCAGGTTTGAGGTCAGGTTTGAGGTGCAGGTTTGAGGTGCAGGTTTGAGGTCAGGTTTGAGATGCAGGTTTGACGTGCAGGTTTGACGTGCAGGTTTGAGGTCAGGTTTGACGTGCAGGTTTGAGGTCAGGTTTGACGTCAGGTTTGAGGTCAGGTTTGACGTCAGGTTTGAGGTCAGGTTTGAGGTAAGGTTTGAGGTCAGGTTTGAAGTGCAGGTTCGAGGTGCAGGTTTGAGGTGCAGGTTTGAACACTGAGGTGATTGTAAGGTGCGACAAGGTACAGATTGGATGCTGACTAGACGCTGATTAACTGCTGACTAGATGCTGACTGGATGCCAACTCACCTCAGCAGCAGGGGCACGTAGAACAGGTCAGCCTCATCGGGATCAGCAGTGCGCCATGCTGACGTCAGCAGCGCGTCCAGAAACACGTACCCCTCCCACCGCCCCCTCCCCGCCCCCAGCACGCCCTGCCACGTGTTCAGGTACCCGGGCAGCTCGTACACAAATATTTTCGGCCGGGCAGCGGAGACGAGCGCAGGGGAGGGCGGCGGGATGGCGTCGGTCCAGAGGAAGGGTCTGCGGCGGTGCAGAGTGGTGGCGCCGTGGGCATCGAGGGAAAGCGCACAGTCAATGCCAAACGTGCCCCTCGCACACTTGCACACCCCCTCCACACACTCGCCGCCCGCTCCTCTCTCCCCACGTTGCTCCCCCTCCCCGTCCCCTGCATATTCTCCACCCTCCTCCCCCTCCCCCTCTCCCCCCAAGCTGTGAGCGCCACAGACCCCGAAGCAGTCAAACGGCAGCCAGCCAGGCTGCTCACAGCCAGCACCTGAGTAGAGCGCGGGGCAGCTGGGGTGGGAAGGTTGTGGTGGAAGGAAGGGGAGAGGGGGAGGAAGTTTGAGACATGTCGAAAGGAGAAATGGAGAAGATCGGGGGGAGGCAGTTTGGGTGGCTGCAGCAGGAGCCAGAATAGAGTGCGAGGTGGCTGGCGGGGAAGGCGGTGGCGGTGAAGATAGGGAGAAGAGGGGTGATGGGCGGCGCATGAGCATATGAGAAGAAGGAAAGAAACGAGACAATAGACAGATGCATGTGAGTGTGGCACATGATGACTCTTCAGGTCACCACTCACATGCACGTGAGGCTGCTTCTGTCACACACGCCAACGCCCGAGCAGTTATACGGGCACTCGTGCGGCGCCCCAAACCCCCCTCCGTCCTCCCTTCCCTCCGCATCCCCCCCGCCCCCTCCGCGCACTGTCTCCCCAGGCCCCACCTCATTCCCCCGCCCATCCAGCACCAGCGCCACCTGCCTCTGTTCATACAGCCTCGCCACGTCCACCCACGGCCCGCGCCTTCCAGGAAAGTCACCCCATGCCTCTTCTTCCTTGACCTTGGGCTCGTCGTCCCCTTCCTGCCCCTCCTCCCCCTCCTCCCCCTCCTCCCCCTCCTCCCCCTCCTCCCCCTCCCCTCCCGCCTCCTTTCCTGCCACCCCTACTTGCCCGGCTCCCACCTCTTTTGTGCTGTTGCTGCCCTTGATCCAGCCAATCAGGGCGTCTCTCACCCCTCCACCACGAGCCACCACAGCAGTCAAAAAGGAAGAGGAATTGCCCGCTCTGCTGCTGTTGACTCCACCACCACCACCACTGGCACCAGCACCACTACCAGCAGCAGCAGCAGCGGTATCATTCCCCCCCATGAGCGCCCCGCTCTCATCAAAGCACTCTGGTAGATGCTCCAGTCGGTACCGATCGCACTCCCTCACGCACGCACACGATGTCGCCACGTGGCACGGCGTCCACACGTCCGGCGCCAGCTGGCAGCTGGGCATGGCCAACACGTGGCAGTGCTTGCCTGTGAAGCCAGGCACGCAGTGACACGTGGCAGTGGCCTCGTTGCACGTGCCCCGTAGAAAGCAGAGGGAGGAGCAGTTGGAGGGGGGCGACGAGGGGGAGAGGGAGGAGGAACGGGAGGAGGGGAGGGAGGGATGGAGGGAATTGGCCCGACTATGAGGGAGTGAATGTGACGATGGCAGCAATGACAGCGAATGCAGCTGGTTCGTGGAACCACCTCTTCCGCCCACCCCACTCTCCCCGCCCTCCTCTCCCTTGCTTTCCCGCTCACCCTCTTCCTCTTCCACCACCACTCCCCCAACCGTGTACCATCTCTTCCCCCCAGTCCCCCTCCCTTTCCCCCACGCTCCCCCTCCTCGCCCCACCCACCCAACCCCCTGCCTGTACCCCCCTGCTTCCCCACCCCCCGCCATCTTGCTTGCTCGGGAAAACACAACGTTGGGTCCCCCACCAGGTACAACCTGCCCAACTGCCGCTGGCAGCGTCACCATCCCCTGACCAGCCGAAACTTCAGCTGCCCGAGCCCGCCGCCCGAGAGCAGCCATGACGGAAGAAAAAGCATCCGAGGAGGCGAGCAGCGGGCGCAGCTTCTTCTGCAGATACAGCAGACTGGAGGGCGTGGGGGGGGAGGAGGAGGCTGAGGAGGCGAAGGAGGAAGAAGAGGAGGAAGAAGAAGAAAAGGAGGAGGGGGAGGGAGAGAGGGGGCTGTAGAGCGGCGAGGCCCAGAGCAGGCGCGGCCAGGCGGCCTTCATGGCAGTGCGGCGCCCAGCCACCTCTTCTGGAGTGATGCCTCGCAGTATCTCCGGGAGCTCTGGCAGCTGCTGGGGAGACAGGAAGAGCGCCAGGGACGGCCAGTGGATGGCTCCTGCTGTGCCTGTGCGTGCGCTGGCGCTGGCATGGGTGTCATAGCCGGGGAGGAACTCAGTGCTGGCCAGGGGCTGCTGGCTGTGGGGCTGGACGACCACAGGGATGCACCCGAGGAGCACTGCCCGCACCACCGTGTCACTGTAGCCCGTGGCGGGCATGGGTGCAAAGCAGAACTGCGCCCGCAGCATGGCGTCTGTCACCGTGCCCTCCTCTCTCTCCTCCTCTCCCTCCGCTTCCTCCCCTTCCACCCCTTCCATCCCTGCCTCCCCTGCCTCGTCCCAGTTCCTGTCTTGCTCCTCTTGTGCTGCCCCCGTGCGCTGTGCGCCCACGTGCATGATCCGGAACCCCACCTGCTGCTGCCGGTGGGAGAAGAGCTGCACAAACCGCACACCTATACTCGATTCAGGCTCATTCGATACAAGACTCGAGGCCGACAACGAAGCAGCACGTGGGTCCCTGTGCACCGCGCTCCAGTCGCCTCCAGGCCTCCCCACCCACTCGCCTCCTCCCATCGCTTCCCCAGCTCTTATACCCACCCCGGCCCCCGGACTCCACACCCCCTCTGCTTTTCCTGCTTTGCCCATCCTCCCCCCTGCCCCCGCCCCTGCCACTGCCCCTGCCCCTCCGCTTCCCCTCGTCCCCCGAACAACAAAGAGAAGCAGAGTGTTGCGGTCGGGGGTGCCTTCAAGGGGCTCGCGCACAAAGGGAGAGGCGAGCACCACGGAGGGGGGCAGCAGCGGGGGGATCACCACGTCTTGTCCGGGAATAAAGCACTGCCCTCCGCGCCCCTGCTGCTCCCCCTGATGTATCTGCGCCCATTTCCCCACCCTTGCCCCGCCTATCCTGTCATCCGCACCTCCCGCCCCTCCCGTCCCTCCCCCATACCCCCAGGGCGTCAGCACCACAGCTCGCTCCAGCCTCGGATGCCTCTGCAGAACCATCCCTTCCCCCTCACCTTCCGCTGCTCCTCCGCCACCCCACCCCCTTGGCCGCATCTCACACGCCCCCCAGTCGCCGTTGAGCAGGAAGACGTGGTCGGCGCCGTTTGTCCTGTTCCAGAAGGGCCAGTGGTGGCTGATGTATGCCACTGCAGCGTCAATGGCGTCCCACCCCGCCATTGCTGTGCTACCATATGCGCCCATCCCCATGCTTGCCCCCATGCCCCCCATGCTCACGCTCATTTGCCCGCGATTCCTGGTGATTGAGAGAGGAGCGATGGGGGAAAAGATGGAGAAAGAATAGAGGGAGGTGAGGACTGGAAGGGGGAAGGGACACAGGTCACAGCCTGCACCTGCACCTCTTGTTCTTCCCTAGATTCGGTCCAGCAAGTCAGGTCAGGGTGTCACAACTGCCACCTGGTTACCACAGCCACACAGGACCTGGTAACTACTGCCCCACCTCACCTGGTAACCACTGCCCCACCTCACCTGGTAACCACTGCCCCACCTCACCTGGTAACCACTGCCCCACCTCACCTGGTTACCACTGCCCCACCAACACTCACCTGGTTACCACTGCCCCACCAACACTCACCTGGTTACCACTGTCCCACCAACACTCACCTGGTTACCACTGCCCCACCAACACTCACCTGGTTACCACTGCCCCACCAACACTCACCGGGTTACCACTGCCCCACCAACACTCACCTGGTTACCACTGCCCCACCAACACTCACCTGGTTACCACTGCCCCACCAACACTCACCTGGTTACCACTGCCCCACCAACACTCACCTGGTTACCACTGCCCCACCAACACTCACCTGGTTACCACTGCCCCACCAACACTCACCTGGTTACCAGCGGCACATAAAAGTAGTCTGCCTGCTCGCCATCCGCTGTGCGTCTGCCATCCGCCAGCAGCCTCTCCAGGAACACCACCCCCTCGGGGCGGTCCAGTGCGCCCGACTGCTCCCACTGCCACGTGTTCAGCTCTGGGGGGAGCTCGTACACGTACACCCGTGGGCGGGGATTCTTGTCTTGTAGCGCCGCCCGGAAGGGCGGGGACTGGGGCGGCCATCTGAAGGTGGGGATTGGGAGGATGCTGGGGCGGGAAGGTGGGGAGGGTGGGGTTGGATACGGGTGGGTGAGAGGGGCGAAGGTGGGTGGGAGGAGGTGGAGGAGGAGGAATGGGCGGGTGACAGCAAGAGACAAAACAAAATGAGTGAGAGGCAGTGCAAGGCAGCTCCTGTCAGGCATACCCTCACCCTCACCTTATGTTTCCCGTGCTGGGATCCAAAGCCAGCGAGCAGTCAATGCCGAAGCTGCCACGCTGGCACGCGCACGTGCCACCGTCGCACCTGCCGCGCCCACTGCACTCGTTCACGCACCGCACGCCCCCCGCGAGCTCCTCCTCGCACCCCGGCCCCGCGTAGCGCCACGCGCAGCTGGTGGAGAAGGGAGGGGGGAGGGGAGTAGCGGGAAGGCGGGAGAGCAGGAGAGCGGGGAGAGGTGAAGAGAGGGGAGCGACAAACGGAACAGAGTGAAGGGCGCGAATGCTTGAAACTTGCATTCTACTTGAATTAGAGGGCAGAGCGATCATCAGCTTGGGGATGATAGGAAATGGCGGGACGATGGGCACGCACTCGCACGTCTTGGACGCGTCACGGCACAGCCCGCGACCAGAGCACCCCAGGGGGCACTCCCGTGGGTCCGTGTATCGCTTCCGCAACTGCCACGTGTACCGCGCCCACATCTGCTTCTGCGCTCCGCCCGCCACCCGCCCGCGCGATGACTGTTCTCTTCCCCCTAAGCCAGCTGCCCCCACGCCAGCCGCACTTCCCCAGTCATTCCGAGCGCCCCCTGACGGCATGTCTCTTGCGCCCGCCCCTCTCCATCGCGCATTGCGCCCTCCGTCCCATCTCCGCGAGCTCTTGCGCAACGCGGGGAGATCGTTGCTGTGAAATCTGCTTGGCCCGCGTGGACCGGTGGATGCCCCCCCAGCCACTACCGCGGATGCAACTGCGCCGTTCCCCGAGCCAGTCTGCGCTCCCCCCTCCGCTATTCCCAGGGTCCCCCACTCTGCCTCATCCCCCCCTTCCGTTGCGCCCACTGTCGTGACCTCCGCGCGTAAGATGTCCGCCAGCGAGCGTGGCGGAATGGCGGAGGCGTTGGGGGAGGAGTTGAAACAAACCGCGCCGGGGCCGATGAGATGAAACGCGCGGCACTCGCGCGCGCATTCGCAGGTGGAGGGGAACGCGCACGGCGTGCGGAAGCCCGGCGCAAGCTCACAGGAGGGGAAGGCATCGGCCTCGCACGCGCCGCCCGTGAACCCCGCAGGGCAGTCGCAGCGACCGAGCTCCTCGTTGCACGTGCCGCGGCGCGAGCAGCGCTTCGAGCAGCGCGATCTGAATTGGGGACTCCATCGGCTGGTAGCGTGCGAGGAGAAAAAACCCTCTTCATCAGGGCCGTCTGTTAGGGCTAATCTTGTCAGATCGATGACTGCAAAAAGAGCGAGGAGAAAAGCGACGGCGAGGACGGCAAGGCGGGAGAAACGGCGTAGGCGGGTAGGGGAGGTGCGGGCCCACTTAGAAGTTTTTTCGGAGACTGGTGACGGCGGAGGGCTAACCTTCTTATTGCGAAGCAAATGGTTACTATCCTCTGACTGCCGGGACCATTTAAGGCGGAACACCCGCGACGTGAAGCTAGATACCCCGCGTCGCCATTCTGAGCCACGCGGACCTGCTGTGCTAGTCAACGTGAGTCGCGTGGGAGCGCAGACTACGTGGTACTTTGAGTCCATCGTCGGGTTACCTCTTCCTGAAGTGCATGAGGGCAGTGCTCGAGAATCTCAAGGATGGCTCTTGCTAGGGAATCCGCGGTTGCTGTAAATGAAGTGAAAAGCCAAGGCGAGGAGAGTTGCGAAGGTTGGGAAGAAGAGAACCGAGAAATCTGTAACTGTATTGGGTGGCGCGAATTGACACAGGGAAGGGACTGTGGAGGAGGGTTGATGTGGCGGGAAACTGTGTCAGAGATTTGAAGCCGATTCGACATAGAGTAGACTGCGTGGGACGTGTGGACTGTGTACCCAGCGTGTGCTTTCTAGCTTCAAAAACTGCATTTGTTATACTTCAAAACATTTGCAAGCAAAAAATAGGATTGTATTTACAGTGGAATTCGCTTGATAGGTTCGGGTTTTAAAGTCCCTCTATTAGAGCAGAAAAAATATCTATCTTAACTGAAAGGAATTTACGTTCATACGGCATGATACCTCATGACAGGTGAAATCTTATGGGAGATTTACCTCATGGGGCAAACCCATAGAGGTGGGAGAGGGGCACAGGGAATGTTAGTGCTACTACAGCATGTTATGCAAATTGGTGTTTCGGTATCCATGGTGTACACGATTCACAAACGGGGATCAACTCACCCTGACCCACTGCTGACAATTCCTCTTCCCGCCACACCTTGCCTCGAGATTGTCGGTGTGAAAGAAACGTGTATCGTTCAGTCAGCTGAATTTCCAGATCGCCATTTAGAGACTTCCATGGCAACTTGCTAAGCCTAGATGTCGGGAACTGCAGAAAATAGTTACATTTCACGAATTCCTGTGATCGACCACCTGGCTTGAAGGGCATATCGTGTGTACTGAACTCGTATAGCTGAATCTGTCCCGATGGTGGTCTGCAAATGTCGTAAGGTGTGCCGCATGCGACTGCTCAATCAAATTTTTCAATCTTGTTGTGCGTAATCAGATCATCACAGAAGTCCTTCACCCGTGTCGTTGACTGTTTCGCTGCTTCAAAGAGTCCCATACCCCGAAATCCGCTCCGAAATTATTTAATTTCCGTGGCAGGCCACCAAACTATACTGCTTCGTGCACAAGACGCCGGTGTGCTTCGACTGCATATGCGCTCCCGATCACCAGCACTGCGTGGTACGTCCTGTCGACACCTGTCGCTTGTTGTCGTGCTTCCGGAGGTCCGTTGCTCTCTTGTGTGTCATCTGCAGCCGTTCGCTTGGACCATCGGGGAAGAGGTTCCTGGATCCTCGTGGCCATGACGATTGGAGTGGAAAACTATAGCATACCACCGTCCTTTTGTTGAATGTAGAACGTTTCTCGAAGCAACAAAGCATACGGATCTCGTATCCGTGTTTCCCTCCCTCCCTCCCTCCCTCCCTCCTCCCTCCCTCTCCTCCGTCCCGTCCCCGCGACGGTTGGAGCCCAGGTATGGCAGTACTCGGACTGGGTGAACGACGGCGACTACGACTGGCCGCCGCACTGCGCCGTGTGCAGCGAGTCCCTCGAGGATACCGACAAGCCCACCATCCGCCTCTCCTGCCTCCGTACGCGCGCTCTACCCCCACCCTACCTGCCTCACCTTCCCGTCCGACCTTTTATGTTCTCCTCTAGTTGCCGACCCGCCTGCCGTTGCTCCTTGCCTGCACCGCTGTCAAGTATGACATTCGCCATGTCACCTGCTGCTCGCCTGACAATCTCCGTGTCATGTGGTGGGTGCAGACGTGCCGCATGCGGAGTGTGTGAAGAGGCACGTGGAGTCCTTTCCGCCCAACACCGCCCCAGCAGGCTTCACATGCGCCTCCCCAGGCTGTGGCCTTGAGGTGTGTCGCATCCCTTGCTGAGCCATGAGGCTTGATTGAGCCACAGCGACATGTGCTTGGTGATCAGCAGAGGCGATCGGCTCTATTGGTAGGATTACTACGATGCCTGCCTATGCTTGAATTGTTTTTTATTTTTTTCTCTCGCACTGGTGTGTGCGTGTGTGTCCCCGTACATGCAGATATGGCCAGCCAGGTCGCACAAGGACTCTGCCTCTGCTCTCTACACGCACCTCAGAGCGCTCCTGGCTCAGGTGGGTCTGTTGGAATAGCTCCTGGCTCAGGTGGGTCTGGTGGAATAGCTCCTGGCTCAGGTGGGTCTGGTGGAATAGCTCCTGGCTCAGGTGGGTCTGGTGGAATAGCTCCTGGCTCAGGTGGGTCTGTTGGAACAGCTCCTGCGTCGGGTGGGTCCTGGCTCAGGTGGGTCCTCGCTCAGGTGGATCTGTTAGAACTGCTGCTGGGTTTCCCGTCTACATTTCAACCAGCCATATCCCAATTATCCCCATCCAACCAGACATATCCCTCAACACCCCCTCCCACACCATCCCGCGCAGACATCTGTTGCAGACGTCATCCTGAGCACGCCAGTCACGTCCGACCCAGCAGCCGCATCCGCCCAAGCCACAGCACTATCAGACAAAACCGTGCCGCCCGCATTCGCCTCCGGCCCTCTCGCAGTGGTGGGGCGGGCGGCAGACTCCGCGAGTGCAGGGGCGGAGGGGGAGGGTCGGGGGGAGGCGGGCGGGGCAGTGGAGGAGAGGAACGGCGGGGAGGGGGAGGGCAGTGGGGCGGGGTCGTCAGGAGTAGCAGCAGCGGCTGTGGCGGCTGCAGCGGCGGCGGCGGCGGCGGCTGCGGCTTCAGCTGGGGCCAAACGCCAAGTGAGTGGATCAACCCCATCACCCCCATCACATCACATCACCCCCATCACCCCCAGCACCCCCATCACCCCCATCACATCACATCACCCCCATCAACCCCATCACATAACATCACCCCCATCACATAACATCACCCCCATCACATCACATCACCCCCATCACATCACATCACCGCCATCACCCCCAGTATGTGGGATTCCCTGTGCGTGTGCCAGTGGTTGGATGCGGTTTGCATGGGTGCACCAGTGCCACCACCACTCGCCTCACCCTGTCCCCTTCAGCTAGTGTCTCCTCCTTAAGTGAAGGTGATCGGTGCTCACTCCTCTCCCAACACCTTCCTGTTGTGCCACGCAACCCCCAGCCACAGCAGCAGGGCGGGGTGAACATTGCGCGCAGTCGAACGGGCGGGTCGGATCGCACGGCGGTGGACATCACAGAGGAGATCGAGACGGCTTACCGCACCGATGAGGAGGCGGGCGAACGCAAATACGCCAGACGAGGTGCGAAGGCAGAGGGAGGGGGAGAGGAGGGACGGGAGGAGAGGAGAGAGTGTTTGTGTGCATGCATGAGAGGGATGACTCACTGCACTGGTAAATACAAGCACACCAGACGAGGTGACAGAAACGGGGAGGGGGAGGGGGGGTGAGGTGGGGGAAGAGGAGTGTGTGCATGCATGCAAGGGTGGCGTTCGTACCTGCTCTTGACGAGGTGGGCGAGAGCAAGTGCGCCAGACGAGGTGAAAGAAGGATGGGGAGATGAGTTGGGCGCCTCTCCTCTCACCCCTGTGGGGCGTCACCCCTGTCCTCCCTCCCCCCCTCCCCCCTCCCCCCTCCCCCTTTCTCACCTCCTCAGGTCCGGCGCATCTGCAGTTCCTGCGGGTGCTGGGGTCGTGGTGGTCACCAGCACTGCATGCGCTGCCAGTGACGCTCACAGCCACGCACTCGCACCGCAGGGACAAGGACGAGCATGCACCCGTGGGGGCGCACGAGGACGGCAGGCGGAGAGCGGGGCAGCGGCGCAGCGGCGGTGTGGACCCGCGGAAGCTGCTGCTCATTGTGGCCATTGTGTAAGCAGCTTGCATGCCATCCCATGACTTGCCCTGCCATGGCGATTTGTGAGTCGACTCAAGTATCATCTTGGGGCAGAGGCGCAGGTGGGGGTGTGGACCCGCGGAAGCTGCTGCTCCTTTTTGGGCATTCTGTAAGCATCTCGCATGCCCTGCCATGCCATGCCATGCCATGCCGTGCCATGCCCTTCAATGCCATGCCATGCCATGCCATGCCTTGCTGCTGTGGCTGTGGTGTGACGAGGGGTGCGCGGTTCTCTGTGCCATGTTGGGTGCCCACTGCCCACACATTGTCTTTACACGCACCACTGCTTACATCCTTCCTCCTCTTTCCTCCCTCCTTCCACCTCTCCGCCTCCTGCTTCCTCCACCTGCATTCATGGTGCGTTTGGCTGCACATGCAACCCTCACACACCTTCCCCGGTGTTGATCACATGTTGCACTCCTTGCATGTGCAGTTCATGCATGGCAACAATGCTGCTGCTTTATTATCGCCTTGCTCAGGGAGCCATGTCCGAAGGCGCATCTACACTTCCATAGTCGTTAGCACGTATGCTACATGTATCAACACACACTCAGCGGTATGCATAGAGTCGCGCCCTGACGGCTTGTACAAGTTTCATGCATATGTGGAAGGTTGCTCTCAATAGTATGCCTACATGTAGCATGATTCTATAGTACTGTACCGGTATGGATGGATGGATTGATTTGAGGACAAACATGAGCCTCAGCACCTTATTTCTAGAATATTGCACCGTTGCGCCGCGCCTGTACCCCGTCTTACAATAAGATTAAGCTTTTTTTTTTTTCGTCGGTGTTTAACAGACTATGTACCTATTCGTCCACAGGAATGTCAAGTTGCAACCGCAGTTGCTTCCCTATGACCTGCAAGGCACACAACCAGTGCACATGGATACCAGGATGGTAACAGAAGAATGGGGAGAGAGAGAATGGAAGAAGATGAGTGGGTTGGTCACGGGACATAAGAGAGACTGGCAGTTGCATGGCCAAGACCAGGCATGCAGCCAGGCAGCCAGGCAGACATTATGGTACATGGCACGGTATGGTATGGCATGGCATGGCACGGGGCTTGGTGGTACATGGCACGGTTTGGTATGGCACGGCATGGTATGGTATGGCGGGGTACAGGGCATGGCAGGTGACCTTGTAGACGTCAGTGAAGGAGAGCAGTGAGTCGCTGCTGAACCCCGCCTGCTGCATCGCCTGCACCACCACCTCCTGTGCGGTCATGCGCGGTGATGGGTGGTGATTGGGGGGGTGATGGCAGGTGATGGGTAATAAAGGGTGAGCAGAAGCGGCACATTTCTCGGTACTGTGTTTTAATGTGTTTTAATGTGTTTTAATGTGTTTTGTGTGGTGCGTGACGTGTGGTGCGTGACATGTGGTGCGTGACGTGTGGTGCGTGACGTGTGGTGCGTGACATGTGGTGCGTGACGTGTGGTGCGTGACGTGTGGTGCGTGACATGTGGTGCGTGACGTGTGGTGCGTGACATGTGGTGCGTGACGTGTGGTGCGTGACGTGTGGTGCGTGACGTGTGGTGCGTGACATGTGGTGCGTGACGTGTGGTGCGTGACGTGTGGTGCGTGACATGTGGTGCGTGACGTGTGGTGCGTGACATGTGGTGCGTGACGTGTGGTGCGTGACATGTGGTGCGTGACATGTGGTGCGTCACGTGTGGTGCGTGACATGTGGTGCGTGACATGTGGTGCGTGACCTGTGGTGCGTGACGTGTGGTGCGTGACGTGTGGTGCGTGACATGTGGTGCGTGACGTGTGGTGCGTGACATGTGGTGCGTGACGTGTGGTGCGTGACATGTGGTGAGTGGTGTGTGTTGCGTGCACCATCTGCGATTCTAAGCCCCACCTATCCCATACCACAACGCCTACACCTCTTGTTGCTAGTCAGAAAGGAACCCACTGACAGCTCCCTAATCATGGCGAGCAGGTCCCCTTTAGATATCCCACTCGAAGCCCCGCCTCTCCCACAACCCACCTCTCCCACAACCCACCTCTCCCACAACCCACCTCTCCAACAACCCACCTCTCCCACAACCCACCTCTCCCACAACCCACCTCTCCCACAACCCACCTCTCCCACAACCCACCTCTCCCACAACCCACCTCTCCCACAACCCACCTCTCCCACAACCCACCTCTCCCACAACCCACCTCTCCCACAACCCACCTCTCCCACAACCCACCTCTCCCACAACCCACCTCTCCCACAACCCACCTCTCCCACAACCCACCTCTCCCACAACCCACCTCTCCCACAACCCACCTCTCCCACAACCCACCTCTCCCACAACCCACCTCTCCCACAACGCACCTGTCCCACAACCCACCTCTCCCACAACCCACCTGTCGTTGCTGGTCTGAGAGAAAGCCCCCTGACAGGTCCTGCAGCATGGCGAGCACATCGCCCTTGGATATCCTGCCGTCGCCATCCACGTCGTACACGGCAAACACCACTGGGGGGAGGGGAGAGGGGGAAGGGAAGGTGCGAGAAGGGGAAGTGTTGCCGTGTGGATGAGGACGTCCCCCTAGGATATCTTGCCGTCGCCATCCACGTCGTACACGGCAAACACCACTGGGGGGAGGGGAGAGGGGGAAGGGAAGGTGCGAGAAGGGGAAGTGTTGCCGTGTGGATGAGGACGTCCCCCTAGGATATCTTGCCGTCGCCATCCACGTCGTACACGGCAAACACCACTGGGGGGAGGGGAGAGGGGGAAGGGAAGGTGCGAGAAGGGGAAGTGTTGCCGTGTGGATGAGGACGTCCCCCTTGGATATCTTGCCGTCGCCATCCACGTCGTACACGGCAAACACCACTGGGGGGAGGGGAGAGGGGGAAGGGAAGGTGCGAGAAGGGGAAGTGTTGCCGTGTGGATGAGGACGTCCCCCTTGGATATCTTGCCGTCGCCATCCACGTCGTACACGGCAAACACCACTGGGGGGAGGGGAGAGGGGGAAGGGAAGGTGCGAGAAGGGGAAGTGTTGCCGTGTGGATGAGGACGTCCCCCTTGGATATCTTGCCGTCGCCATCCACGTCGTACACGGCAAACACCACTGGGGGGAGGGGAGAGGGGGAAGGGAAGGTGCGAGAAGGGGAAGTGTTGCCGTGTGGATGAGGACGTCCCCCTTGGATATCTTGCCGTCGCCATCCACGTCGTACACGGCAAACACCACTGGGGGGAGGGGAGAGGGGGAAGGGAAGGTGCGAGAAGGGGAAGTGTTGCCGTGTGGATGAGGACGTCCCCCTTGGATATCTTGCCGTCGCCATCCACGTCGTACACGGCGAACGTGACATGACGGCATGCCATGGCACAGGTGGAATCAACAGTATTCCCCCATAGCACACCCCATTGAATTCACCCCATCCCATCCCATCCCATCCCACCCCATCCCATCCCATCCCATCCCATCCCATCCCATCCCATCCCATCCCATCCCATCCCATCCCATCCCATCCCATCCCACCCCACCCCACCCCATCCCATCCCATCCCATCCCATCCCATCCCATCCCATCCCATCCCATCCCATCCCATCCCATCCCATCCCACTCCATCACCAGCCTCACATCGGGTGCGGTCCTCAGCAGTAGCCCGGGAGCTGAAGGCAGCGAGCCACTTGACAAAGTCTTTGAAGTTCACTCCCTCTAGCATGCCCAGTAGCCGCTGGGCAAGTGAGGGAGCAGGGGGGAAAGGGTGCGGAGGGAGGAGGGTGAGATAACTTCTGAGTTGATCCAAACGCCTGCCAAGTCCTTGAAGCTCACGCGCTCTAGAATGCCCAACAGCCGCTGGGGTATTGGGGGAATGGGAAGGCGAGGGGGGTGGAAGCAGGGGTGGGGGTGAGAGTTCCGCATCAAAGCAGGAGCCAACTCACTGAGTCCTTGAAGGTCACTCCCTCCCATTCGCCCAGCACCCGGGTTTGAAACGAGGGGCGAGAAGGGGACGGAAACGGCGGGGAGAGGGGGGAGGGGGAGGATGGAACAAACGGGGGAGAAACGAGGGGGAAGGGGGCAAGTAGTGAAGGTTCAGCGCGCAACACACTTGACTGGGGTTGACCGGCGTTGACTCACATGCGCGAGGGGGTTGATGGCGAATTCGGGGATGGAGAGGAACTCGTCCCCGCTCACGTACCCCTTGCCGTTGCGGTCCAAAGCACAGAACCGCCGGTACAGCGCCGCTATCTCCTCCTGCGAGACTGGGGGGCGCGAGGAGGGGGAGGGAGGGAGAGTGGGGGTGGGGGAGTGTAAGGGGAGGCGGTGAGAGGGATGACGGAACTCCCGGTACAGCGCCGCTATCTCCTCCTGCGAGACTGGGGGGGAACGGGGATGGGGGATTGGGGAGCGGGGGGGAGGGGGGGGGGGGGGTTGGAAGGGGGAACCCACGTGAGAGAGGAAGGGGTGGCAGTGGTGAGAGGGAAGTCAGTACAGCGCCGCTATCTCATCCTGTGAGACTGGGGGGAGCGGGGGGAAACGGAGAAACACGGGGGGAGCAAAGGGGGAAAGAGGAGGGGGAGAAGGGGAATTGGGGGTGAATGGTGCAGAGTGGGCGAGAGGGGTGGGAGGTGGTGGAAAGGGAAGGGGAGAGGGCAGAAGGGACGGAACGCGGAAAGCAGGCGGAATTGCGAGAGGGAGATAATTATCTTGTGCTGTGCACGTCATCTCACCGCACGTGGATTTACTCGCTGCGCACGTCCTACCTTGTGCTTCCATGCTCAAATCCCTCATCGTAATTACACTACTCGTTATACTCACATCGGCCGCCCACGTGCTGTTGAACGTCCTCGATGTCATACTGCGTCAGCAGCGAGTGCTCGTTCCCCATCACAGCTCGGCGCGCTGCTCTCTGCGTCGCGCCCCCCCTGACCTCCCTAACTCTCGCGCCCGATACAAAACACGGACACGAAACGCAGGATGTGGAATTCGCAGTCACGAATGCGAGGAAAAATATGCAGATCGAAGTATCAGTGCTGTCGAAGTTGCTATCGGGAGTGTAACGTAGTTAAGGCAACATCGGAGATAGATTGCACAAGAGGCAATAGCCAATGGTCACTAAGGAATCGTCACTTCGGACATTTCTTATCGAGCTGGGTGTGGGAAATGGAGTTAGCTAGAGACCTTTATCGGAGTTCCCGAAATTCTCATGATCTTCGCTAAATGCTCTGTACTCGATAACCGTCCATCTCAAGGAATTGTGGTAATCATATACCAGTTCCACTAAAATGATCATCAATCCACATATTAGGAGAACTGGATACAGATCAGAATGTTTGAGGTGTATGGCTCTAAACAAGGTCAAACAAAAACGGGTTTAATACCACCAGCTGTGCTTCTTGTCGTGTTCTTCGAGAAATTCACACGGCATCCGCCCAATGTCTGCCTCTCAAGAGCACCGACACTCCCCGCAGAATCATGTCGTGTAGCACACGATTTCGGTTTTCCCTTGTCGCGTCATCAGCGCCTCGAAATGAACCACGTCAGTTCAGCCCTGCGCCTCGGCTTCCTCCCCCAGCAAAGGAAACCAGGGTGACAGGGTCCATGCGACCCTGGTCTTCAATTTGATTCGACGACGCCCCCCAACTACCCTGGGATTCGCGGAACAGCTGCGCGTGTGTGCGGCCAGAGGCGGGGATGGATTGTCTGGTGCCGAGGTTGAGCATCCAGCTGTTTTGTATGACGAACTGGCACAGCAAGATACAACAACAGGTAAGGAGAGCCCTACGATCTGTTAGGGCGTGTAACCATTTTGCATTTTGTGATTTTGACGTACCGTCCGATTATATGGAATCGGACGGTACGTTTAAAACGAAACGGACTGTCCGATTTGAATGTTTGCAACTTCGGACGGTACGAATGCAGATGTGACACTTTTTCCACATGCTAGGGTTCCACGATGGTTTTCCCTTCGCCATCTCAAATGTACACCAGTAACGCCAGTCACAACCCATCGCAATTTTCGCCTGTTGAGTTCAGCGCTTCGGACAAACATAGGAAATTTTCAAACAAGCACAAAGGTCAATGTCGTGGCTTCTTGTATTGTAGTATGGCTAGTTGTGATTGGTTAATGTCAATTTTTGCATACGAGTCGCATTTTTCCATGTTTTGGCGAGGCGGTTCGCTGATATCCGATTTCGCCCGCCAATCGCGTGCGCGGACAGGCTGACAGGCCGTTTGTGATTCGGACCGTCCGCTGTCAGAGTTTCGTGTCGTTGGAAAGCGGAAAAAGTGTCATGACGGTTCGAATTTGTAGCGACGTCGCACACGTCCTTGCGAAGAACTGCACGACATAAAACGACAAAGGTAACCCTTCGCATCGACGTACGGTCCACGGTTCGTTCCGTCGAGTGCAAAATAGTTACACGCCCTTATGATTCAATTCAGTGCCTCACTCGCGCCCTTCTTCCCCCACCCCACACGCGCCCTTCTTCCCCCCGACGTACGTCTCTCCTGCTTCCCTTCCACCGCCATACCCACCCACCCACCAACTACACACTCTTTCTCACCTCTTTCACCGGCGGAAGCACTGGCTAGAGTGTTTGGACGTAGCGGGCTGGTGAGATAAGTCGGTTGCGGGCAAAGTCGCACGAGGGTTTGAAAAACGCCTTGGGCCGTAAAAAACCATTAAAGTTGAATAACCGTCCTGACCGCTTTGAAAACAACAGTACCATTGTAGAACGTAGAAAACCTTGACTAAACGCCCTGGGTCAAATTGTCACTGTAACGCATGTGATAGGACCTTCTTTGGTCCGGTGCGGCTACACTAAGCGTCTTGGTCAGCATAACGTATGCCAGTCTATCGAGAATGAGGGTGCATCTCTCAACTCAACGCGAAAAATTCCCCCACGATGGCATTGATGCAACCAGCCCATCTTCCACACAATTCTTTCTCGCCGTGTAGTGTACTTGCTGACGGGCAACACAGAGCAGCAGCTTTTGGACTGCCTACAAATTCCTCGACCAGGCCGTACGTCAAGCCCTTGACGATGCTGCAGGCAGTCCGTAGTACCTCCCACGGTTGTCGAGACGATTCAAAAGCAGTACATCGTGAGTTCAGTCGCTGTTTCGCCTAGGCGTAGAGGCCGCCATCTTTCCACTCTCTGTCGCTTCCCAGTCCGCCATTTTGTGAGCCGTGAATCAACCCAGCAGAGACCCTATCAGCCTAGAAACGCCATTCCGTCAATCATCAACAAGAACGAAGAAGTTGATCCCGTGGGCAGAATGACCGTTCTCAGGCTGATAGGGTCCATAAGGGCCTCTTAAAGCCACGGCGTGAAGCCTCTAATAAACGGATTCCTATACACGGTGTGCTGGGTACCGTGTTGAGTCAGTGCGCTCCGCAGCATCCCGATTCGCTCCTCCGAACGCCCTTCCGCGTCCGAGAAGGCGCGGACGAATGGACCTCGAGAATGACGGCGCCGCGGGCACAGCCGCCGTGTGGGCGACCGTCTCCCTGCCGCAAATCCCTCTCGTCGACGGATTCAGCTTTCACCAAGCGCCGCTTCCGTGCGAAGCGGCTGGGTCCGCGGAAAATAACGAATGGGGCAGCCGGTTCATGGGAGAATGGGCGGACGGAAAGTGCAGCGAGGAGCAGTGGAGGTTGGAGAACAAGGGTGATAATTGGGGCGCTATGGGGGAGGAGGGAATGGTCGTGGAAGGCGCTGCGGAGGCTCCGCCAACTCCGCTGATCCAAGCCATTGCGCGCAAGAACATATCCGCTTCCGCCGAAGTCTCCCCCAACAATGGCGCCTCCGTTGCCACACGCTTAACGAACGGATGGGATCCGCTGCATCTGAACCTGCAGCCTCGGGAGAATGTTCAGGAACATCTTCAGGAAAAAACACAGTGGCAAGTCGGCCAAGGCAACGACGGCTCCTGCCTCACTACTTCCCCCTCCGCCGCCACATCCGCCGGCGGCGGCTGCGCTAGCCGCCGAAGTCTCGGGGGAGTAACCCCATCCGCAGCAACCAGCGCTTACGCCGCTGGGGTATCTTTTGGGCCCGCTATCCCCCTTCTGACTCTTCCGCCATCCGCTTCCTTCACGGGCCCGCCGCCTAGCGCTGCTGCCTCGCACGGCACGGGCAATCAAACCACGGAATATGGCGGCCACGTGCCAGCAGCATGGTTCACTCCCACTGCCACGTCAGCCACCAACGTGTCCCCTGCATCGCTGATGTCAGCTCTGGGGTCGCTCCAGGGCAAGATCGCCGCGCTGCAGCTGCTGATTCCGCTGGTGGCGCAGAGCAGCCCCGAACCCGCCGTGCGCGAGCAGCAGGAGGCGGCGGCGGTGGGCGTCGCGGCGGTGATTCAGCAGGTGGCGCTCGCCGCCGTGGGGCTGCTTCCGCCGCGCTTGCAGGCGCAGCTTCTGCTGCCCGACATCGCGGGGGTGGTGCGCGCGGAGCAGATTCGCGCGAAGCAGGAGCAATCGGCGCAGCAGTACGCGGAGATGGGGAATGCTGATCAGTCCGCGGAGAAGCGGGACGAGGCGGAGGCGCAGGGGCAAGCGGAGGCGGAAGGGGTCCAGCAGCCGCACATGCAAGAGGCGATGATGATGGCTCTGGCGCAAGCGCTGCAGCTCCAGGAGCAGCAGCAGCAACAGCAGCAGCAAGAGCCGCAGCAGCAGCAGCACGAGCAGCAGCAACCAGCGCTGCCCACCGCTCCCTCGCCTCCGCCGCCTGCTGTCGCGATGTCGCTCCCCCTGTTTTCACCCGTCGCCGCTCCCCCTTCAGCCGCGCCTGCGCCTGCTGACCCTCTTGCGGGGCCTACTGCGGCCCCTCTCCTTCCCCACCCTCCCCCTCCCCTCGCTTCCCCCGTTTCCGCCGCAGCATCCGGAGCTGGCGCCAGCACGGGGGAAGACGACGCTGAGGTGGGAGAGGAGGGAGGAGAAAAGGCGGGAGAGCAGGGCAATGCGGAAAGGAGCAAGAGGGGAAGGGAACATGATGGTGAAATGGAGGCAGCAATGGGAGAGCGACCGCTGAAGCAAGCTAAGCTGGAGGAAGGCCAAGCAGCAGCACCAGCCACAGCGATTGAACCAGCATCTGGCACAGCACCAGAGGCAGCGCCAGGAGCGGCATCAGGCGGAGAGTCCATGAAAGATTGCTATGAAGGCTCCAAGACAGCAGCATCAGGCTCAGCAGATACAGCAATTGTCACAGCCACTGCCACTGTGAGCTACACCGCCACTGCCACAGCCAGCGACAGCGACGAGGAGGCAGCGGCAGCAAGCAGCGGCGGCGGGGCTGGGTGGGGAGCGGAAGGCGTGCGTGTGGGGGAGTGGATGATAGTGGAGCTGCGGGTGGCAGAACTCTCCAACGATCAGATGCACTTCTGTGACACCTGCGGCAAGGGCTTTAAGCGCGAGGCCAACCTGCGCATGCACATCAAGGCACACGGCCGCATGAACCCCATGCACCCAGCAGCGTCTCCTCCCCCACTCTCCTCCTTCCCTTCGTCGACCCCAGTGGATCCAGCACAGTGCCGCTTCAGCTGCCCAGTAGCGGGGTGCAAGCGGCACCGGGAGCATGCGGCCTTCCAGCCGCTCAAGACGGTGCTGTGTGTGCGCAACCACTACCGCCGCTCGCACTGCCCCAAGCTGCTCGCGTGCTCGCGCTGTGGCGGCGCCAAGCGCTTTGCGGTGCTGGCGGATCTGCGCACGCATGAGAAGCACTGTGGCCTCACCAGCTGGACCTGCTCCTGCGGGTCGCGTTTCAGGTGAGCGCTTTGAAGCCTCCTCACTGGGCAGATGCTTGTTAACCCGCACCTTCATGTTATGGATTGTTGGCCTCTGTTTGCTCCAACTGGCCTCGGTTGTGTCCTCTGGCTTCCTTACATTACTCCCCCTTCCGTTGAGTGATCCTGTCTTCCTTTCTTTCCCTCGCCTTTCCCTGTGGTTACCCTTAAAACTCCTCCCCATGCAGCCGCAAGGACAAGCTGATGGCGCACCTGGTCACCTTCATCGGCCACTCTGCCGTCTCACCGGGGAACAACCTTGCGTGACTGACTTGCCGCATTGCCACGCACATGACATACATGCAAATGTGGCAGCGAGCGCTACAGTGGCAGTGCACGTCTGGTGGCGTTGCAAGCAAGATGTCTGCTTGCGCTCACGAAGACAGAGGAAAGGGTGTACCAGTTGTGCCCAAGCACACCATCTGCTGCTTGGATGTTTCTTTGCTTCCCATTTCTTGCTTTTAGGTTTGTCTTTGTTTGGTGCAGGCAGGCTGTGCGTGGACCTTCCATCCTCCGCCTCTTCGCTTGTTTCCAGCAAACTGGCCCATTTTCGAGCCTCTTTGCTGGTAACAAGGCTACAGAATACTCTCTGTGGACGGAATTTGGAGGAGGATTGCAGGTCCTCGACACCAGCTGCTACATATTCTTGTTTATGTATTGTATCGTATTGTTGCTTAATTTGGCGTTTTTTCGTGTCCTATTTAGCACTGCCCAAGTACAGTCCATTTGTCATTTGTGGTTTGCTCAGCATTGAACTATGAAGGAGAGATAAGACTTTTATTGCACAAAGTCTGGTGTGGTTCGTTCAACTAGTACAGTTCTCTACCCTGGCGACGAGTACCGCAAATCAACGGGCCTCGAGGGTTGAGTAGAGTCCTCGGTCATCACACGCAACGGTCGTAGAAAATCGCAGTTCGCAAGATGTCGCAAGGACATCGCATCAGTCATGCCATCGCGAATCGCGAACCGCATGAGCTGTGGCCTGGTCAGATCGGCTGCAGAACAACTGGTGCAAAGGGATTTTCTTTGGTGACGCACGGTGACATGTGCTTATGAATGTTTCTGTGATGTCAGAGGTTATCGCGTCGCCCAGTCTCCGCGCCCTCGCCTGAATTGTCAGAACTTGCCGTCCCTCCTACGTACAAAACACCTCCCTTCGACTCTCATCTCTCCTCGTGCGGGCAACACTTCTGAAATGCTGTGCTCCAACGACGCGCAACCGTTCCGTGACGCAAAGCTGCATTTTGCATTTTCCATATCGTCCGTGTGACTTCAACTAAAATTTCCTAGTCCTAGCATGTATCGGACGGCCAATTATGGTCCGCGCTGCTCCAAGCGCTGCTGGGATGCTAATGTCGAGCCAGAACTCGTGCCACGCGGAGGCGCGAAGCGGTTGCTCTGGTGGCTGACGCTGGTAGTCGTCGCTGCTTCTCTATTTGCTTTAGTATTCTTCTCGGGTACGTAGTAACGCCTTCCTCTTCTCCGTCCTTCTCTCGCCGCCGCCTTCCCCGTAAATCACTGTCGTTTCATTCCGTTTCACAATGGAAGACTGCTTTGGGATCTCATTTTCCGCTCCTTTGCGCTGACAGAACATAAGACAAAAAATTCCTATCACTTGCGTTACTTCATCGAGTGTTATTACCTCTTTAACACATACCTTTGCCCCATTCAACCTTCCGCGCACCACGCTTCGTCTCTCCACCCACCCACCCTGTGTCCGTCCTGTCCTCCCCGCGCCACGCCCCCTGTTCGCACTCACCAGCCGCGCCAGGCCCGCCGCTGGCCTGCGAGGACCATCCGCCGCGCGACGTCGCCCAACCCGCGTGTGAGTACGCGGTGGTGATGCATTCCCAAGCCAGACCCGCATGCAACCGCCTTGCTCCCATCTGTGACGCGCTCGCGAAAACGCTATTTTTGAGCACGAATATCGGAGAACGAATCTCGGAACACAAACCTCCATTGGTTTGCTTCCTTGATCCCTCCCCGCTGTTGTTTACCCTCATCCCTCTCCGCTGTTGCTTCCCCCCATTCCTCCCCACTGTTGCTTCCCCCCTTCCTTCCCGCTGTTGCTTCCCCCCATTCCTTCCCTCTGTTGCTTCCCCCCATTCCTTCCCGCTGTTGCTTCCCCCCATTCCTTCACTCTTTTGCTTCCCCCCATTCCTTCCCGCTGTTGCTTCCCCCATTCCTTTCCTCTGTTGCTTCCCCCCATTCCTCCCCTCTGTTGCTTCCCCCCACTCCTTCCCGCTGTTGCTTCCCCCCATTCCTTCCCGCTGTTGCTTCCCCCCATTCCTTCACTCTTTTGCTTCCCCCCATTCCTTCCCGCTGTTGCTTCCCCCATTCCTTTCCTCTGTTGCTTCCCCCCATTCCTCCCCTCTGTTGCTTCCCCCCACTCCTTCCCGCTGTTGCTTCCCCCCATTCCTTCCCGCTGTTGCTTCCCCCCATTCCTTCACTCTTTTGCTTCCCCCCATTCCTTCCCGCTGTTGCTTCCCCCATTCCTTTCCTCTGTTGCTTCCCCCCATTCCTCCCCTCTGTTGCTTCCCCCCACTCCTTCCTGCTGTTGCTTCCCCCCATTCCTCTCCGCTGTTGCTTCCCCTGAACGCTCTCCGCTGTTGCTATCCCTAATATCTCTACGTGTTTTACCTTCCCCTTTTCACTTCGCTGCTGCTTCCAAAGCAGAAGGTTGTTGTCCCGAAAATATCCCAGGAGTCCTCCTTCCCTTCCCCTCAAGGCGTCCTCACCATCCCAATCGTCACCCCCCCGTCTTCTCCACTTGCCGCCCACTTCAGGGGTAGATTCAGTGGTCGATACTCCCGCCTACGCGCTTGACGCACTCCCGCATAGCCATGTCCCCCTCCGCCGCAGAGGATTGGGCTACGGCAGAAGCACCCATGCCGCCCGTTGGCGCATATGGGGCTGCGATGCGGGGGAACTGCCGGGAGAAAATGCGCAATTAATAAGGACGAGGCTGTATTTCGATACAGTGGTGGTACAGAAGCGGAGGGGTGGAGATGGGGGGAGCTGGGTTGGAGGAAGCGGAGGGATGGAGAAGGGTGGGGGAGAGCGGGGGGTGCTGGTGGATGGGGTGGTGGTGGAGGGGAAAAGAAGAGTAGGTGATGCAGCAGCAATTGCGATCGAAACAGCCGCAGCAGTAGAAACCACAACGTCAAGAGCATTAGGAACGGCAGAAACAGTAGCAGAAGAATCAGCAGAGCATCAGAGCCACGCAAGCCATCCACCACAGCCCCTCAACCCCCCCACTCAACCACAACCTGCTTCCCAATCCCAGAATGGCACGGATGGCATGGGTGGGGTGGATATATTTTTTCAGGGCGAGTTCGGGTACGAGTTAATCGCCGTCCTCCCATTCGCCTACTGGCACCATCTCCGCGGCTCCCTCCGCTACACCACCTCCTGCGGGCGGCATTCCTTGGCCTCACTCTATTACTTCAGCCCGAACCACACAGATGACGCCACGTGTCGTCGAAGTGCCATGAAGAACAATGTCGCTGCATATGGTTTTAGCCAAGGCATACATTACAGTCGCATTCCGCCAGCCTGGCAGCCGCCGCCTCTTGCCCACCATTTCAGAAAATTTCCCCCTGTGTGGCCGGAGATTCCCAAGGGATCCCGGTTGGTGGTCATTGGGAATAAATATGAGCGAGAGTGGGGCCGTTCTCCGGTGAATTTCATCGATTTACCAACTCTAATGGGAATCGTCACCGCGTATTTAGACGCTGGTTTTTATGTGGTGTACAACAACCCGGGGATGTCACTGCAGCCGCCCAGGCAGGCAAGTCGAGACGGAAAGGACTTGGGAGACTACGAGGCGCTGCAGGAGCGGGTTGGAAATAATCCACGGTTGCAGATCATGCAGGACCTTCAGAAGAGATGGCCAGAATTGAGTTTCAATGAAGTGCAATTCAGACTGCTGGCGCGGAGCGCGTGTTTTGTGAGTGTACGGGGAGAAGGCAGCATAGTGGAGAGCTACTTTGGTGGCCAGAATATCATCTACTTTCGTGAAGGGCAAGAGGTGAAAGGCAAGGCGTATGAGAGGATTTACCCCCAACTGGCTGGAGCTATGGTGACGGTGGTGACCAGCTATATGGGCCTGGAGAGGGAGGTGGATGGGATGATACAGAAAAACAATTGCTACGCAAAATTAGATAATGGCCTCTGACTGATGGCATAGATGGGAGTACCGTATAGGTCTCTGGCTGAAGAATACTTAGGCGTGCATCTCACCAACTGCTAATTGTGGCTTAGAAATGTATTGCATCACTTCATGATTGTGCAACATGTATGCTGCTTTTTATAACCCAAACCAAAATTAACAAAGTAATGAAAGAGGGATGAATTCGAGATAAATATAGGGTCGAATATGTTTAGAGTGACGTGTTCCTGCTGGAGAACTGCCTGCAAATCAACAGGCCGCAAAGGGTCGTCGTCAGTGATCGTAGTCGTCGTAAGACGTCGCAGGATTCACGAGACTATGACAAGGTGACGGGTAGGTGGCGAATCGCATCACCCGCACGGTCCGAGTTCACGTCGTTCAAACATCAGGAATTGCTGTGCTGTCAACAACCAAGCCTCAAGGGGCTCGACGAACCGCTGCTTTAGGTCGAACAACTATGCTGCGATGCCAATAAGTACAGTACAGTTAGAGCATTACACAATTTCAGCCCTTGTGGTTTTTTTTAAGGGTAATGAAATACAGCTTATCGTCGCGCGATTGCATAGCAGTTGGCAAGGTTAGCAGGTTTGTACAAGACTAAAAAATTTGGAAGTACATTAACTGTGCCCGCCACATTCACTCCCATTTACAGCCAGAGCCTGATGAGGGGGCTGTATCAACGAGCAGGAGCCAATGGTTAAGGTTCGGCCAAGGCACTGAACCTGCTGCCCCCAACTAAGAAGAAAACCACCAATCGCATATGGAATCCGCCCAACCTAGCCCCTTCGCAACTGGAAGCCGCATGTCCGCCGCCGACTTTCAACGCGACTCGACTGAATGAATCCGTCACTTCACTCCCCTCGCTGGGCCCTCGCCTCAATCGGCACGGCCCTTGGTCTTGCTCCATTTTTACATTTCCCATCTCTCAGAAATAGCCCTCCCTCGTATGCACAACCGTACTTTTCCTCCCCACTCACGCAGACAGAAGTTCTGGAAGCGCTGGACTCAACCACACTACAACACGGATCTCCCTATTAGCGTTCCCCATAGTCATTATATTTCACGACATACTTTTTTCCTATAATGGATCGGACGG